GACAACTTTATAATTTCAGTTTTTCAGTCTGTTTAGTTTTCTCTTCTTTCTGCTAGGTTTGGAAAATTGTATTTTTCTGGAAAACTACCCATTTCATTCAGGCTTTCAAAATTCTTTACGTAGGGTTGAGATAAGAGGTCTTTTACCTTTTTTTTTCTTCAAATTTTATCTATGTTCATGCTCATTTTTTTTTTATTTTTTGTGTTTTTGTACTCCTTTTAAAATTAGATTGTCTCATGATTTATTTTCCAAAGAATTAACTCTTGAATTTTAATGTATTAGTATTTTGTTTTCTAACTCATTAGATTCTGCTTGGGTGGTTTTAAATTTCTTCTGCTTTTTTTTTGTTCTTTGTAAACTTTTGGTTGGATGCTTATGTTATTAACTTTTTTTTTCATTTTTTATTGAAATAAATAAGGTTCTGAACATTGCTCTAGGTGAATGCCACAGGATATATATTTTATATAGATGTATGTGGTCTATACATATATGTATGGTTGCGCATATGTATATGTACTTGTGTATATATATTCAGTATGTATATACATATGCACATATTTGATGTGGTTATGGAAATAAATTGAAAGAGGACAGAAACGAATGATAAGGAACTCAGAAAACAAGTGAGAATATTGTAATAGTTCACATGAGAAATTTTGATGGCCCGAATTGAAATCATAGCAGTAGAAATGGAAAGAGGAGCATAGAGATTGGAAATGAAGTGTATGAGAAAGGGAAAATAAATATCTGAGAATAACTCACAGCTTTGTAGTTTGGGTAGCTGGTAGATAAAGGTGTGTTCACTGATTTAGGGCGTATGTTCAGTATGGAATAATGGAAGAATAGATTTGGAGTGGAAAGGTGAGTTCAGATATAGACATGTTTGCATTAAATCCAGGTACAGATACCTTATTAAAAATCAGATATTCAAGTCAGGAGCTCAAGAAAGAGGAGGAAGCTAGAGATTTTGAGGGAGGGGGTCAGAAAAAGGGTAGATAGTTGATTTTGTGGTTTGACTGAGGTGGTCTAGGATAGTATCTCTATGATCTAGAGATAATAGGTCTAAAGATGAGTTCTTCAGGGTCTAAATTCTTATAGAACTTTCTTCCTTTTTTTTTTAAGATGAAGTCTTGGTCTGTCACCCTAGCTGGAGTGCAGTGGCGTGATCTTGGCCCACTGCAACCTCCGCCTCCAGGGTTCAAGCCATTCTTCTTCCTCAGCCTCCCGAGTGACTGGGATTGCAGATGTACACCACCATGCCCGGCGAATTTTTTTATTTTTAGTAGAGACAGGGTTTTGCCATGTTGGCCAGGCTGGTCTCGAACTCCTGACCTCAAGTGATCCCCTAGCCTCGGCCTCCCAAAAGTGCTGGGATTACAGGTGTGAGCCACTACACCCAGCCTAGAACTTTCTTTATAGAACCAATTTTGTTTTCATTTTGATGATAAATTAAAAATAAATTAATATAAGCATATTCTGGGTTGTCTGAATGACTATCATGCTACACAGATTTTGGTGCCCGTATTGTGTTTAAACACTTGCTAAGTGATCATCTGGAGCCCGCATGTCTGATAAACCTGCTGTATTGGAATGTAGATCAGGCTAATGTGTATTAATGTAAAATCAAGAAAATCAACTTCAACTTCTGTACTCATGCTGAATTATTTTGCCATTAAAAATTTCTTTTATAGTGATAATTACAGGTGAAAGGTATTTTCATAGAACTTCCTGAGAAATCTCATAAAGAAGCTTTTAAGAAACTTATAAAGGCATTTTTTTTTTTTTTTTTTGAGACTGAGTTTTGCTCTTGTTGCCCAGGCTGGAGTGCAATGGCACGATCTTGGCTCACCGCAACCTCCGCCTCCTGGGTTCAAGTGATTCTTCTGCCTCAGCCTCCCGAGTAGCTGGGATTACAGGCATGCACCACCACACCCGGCTAATTTTGTATTTTTAGTAGAGACAGGGTTTCACCATGTTGGTCAGGCTGGTTTCAAACTCCCGACAAGTGATCCTCCTGCCTCAGCCTCCCAAAGTGCTGGGATTACAGGTGTGAGCCACTGCACCTGGCCAAGAAATTTTAATTGTCACAGACTGATTAAAGAAAATGGGACTTATATGTAGATTATGTGTTCAGGCCAATTGAAGCTTTATAAGATGTCATGGTTCCCTCCGAACAAAGTGTTTCATGGAAACTTGGAGAGACAAAAGTGATGAAGTGATGGGAGAGCTGACTGACCATGTGACTTACTGGTAGGTGTGTGTGTACATGTGTATATGTATTTTTGTGAGCATCGCACTGCATGAATCTCCACTTATCTCTAAATATCAACTTATAACATTTATTAGTGGTAAGCAGTGTGGCATTTTTATTGAATATTTTTTGATTTTTATGTTGATATACCTACATATACATTGTGAAATGATTAGTATTATCAAGCTATATTTACCATCCTGTACATTAGATCTTCAGAACTTACTCATCTTGTGTGACTGAACTTTGTGCCTTTTGACCAACTTTTCCCCATTTCCCCCAACCCCTGAGCCCCTGGCAACCACCATTCTACTCTCTGCTTCTATGAGTTTGACTTTTTTAGATTCCACATGTAAGTGAGATCGTGCAGAATTTGTCTTTTTGGGCCTGGCTTATTTCATTTAGTTTAATGTCCCCCAGGTTCATCCATGTTGTAGCAAATGACAGAATTTCCTCTTTTTTTTAGAGACAGAGTCTTGCTCTGTCACCTAGGCTGGAGTGCAGTGGCGCAATCTCGGCTCACTGCAACCTTTGCCTTCCGATTCAAGCCAGTTCTCCTGCCTCAGCCTCCCAAGTAGCTGGGACTACAGGTGCATGCCTCCACACCCAGCTATTTTTTTGCGTTTTAGTAGAGACAGGGTTTCACCGTGTTGCCCAGGCTGATCTTGAACTCCTGAGCTCAGGCAGTCTTCCTGCCTCGGGCTCCCAAAGTACTAGGATTACAGGCCTGAGCTGCCGCACCCAGCTCCTTTTTTTTAAAGGCTGAATTTATTCCATTGTATTTATATACCACAAATTCTTTATCCATTCCTTTCTTGATGGACACTTGGGTTGATTCCATATCTTTTACTGTTATGAATGATGCTGCAGGGAACATGAGAGTGCAGATACCTCTTTGAGATACTGATTTCATTTCCTTAGGATCTATACCCAGAAGTGGGATTGCTGGATCATATGGTAGTTATGTTTAATTTTTTTGAGGAACCTCCATACTGTTTTCCATAATGGTTGTACTAATTTATATTCTTCTCAGCCAACAATGTACAAGTGTTTTCTTTTCTCCACGTCCTTGCCAACAGTTATCTTTTATCTTTTTGATAGTAGTCATTCTAAGAAGTATGAGTGTTAGCTCATTGTGGTTTTGATTTGCATTTTTCTGATGATCAGTGATGTTGAGCATTTTTTCATATACTAGCTGGCCATTTATATGTCTTTTGAGAAATGTCTATTCAGATCCTTTCCTCGTTTTTAAAAATTGGATTGTTGTCTTGCTGTTGAGTTGTTTGAGTTCCTTATATGTTTTGGATATTAACCCCTAATCAGGTGTATGATTGCAAATATTTTCTCCCATAGTGTATCTCTTCACTGCATTGTTTCTTTTGTCGTGCTAAAATGCATTTTGTATAACAGTTTTACAATTCATTAAAGATTTTAAACAGGTAAGTAATCCTATAATACAACTGAAGTTAGAAATAATAATAACTTATGTGCTTTTTAAAATAAAACATCTACTGTAGTTAAGTTTGGCTTTCTAGTCTTGTTTGGTGACCTGGTATCTTACTACTGAAGATGTGCATTCTGCAGATCATCAGAGTTCAAATAGGATGTTGAACATAGAGGGTTGAATAATGTATGACCCCTGTAGTAGACTCAGATTCCCCTTTAAAGAAGGGTTTACTGCCCAGCTGTGAGAAATGTGAGATCCTGACAGCCCCCTCTTTCCCCACCCTTGTCCCCCACCTTAGAGTCTGGCTCAGCTCTAGAGACATTCCCCTCTCCTCATGTCACAGACTTCCTGGGGCAGCATGCATTTACAGACTGAGCAAGGCAGAGATAAAAAAGATCTGACTATTTCAGCCCGTCACAGAGTACTCTGATGGACAGTGCTTGCTTTAGAACTTCCTATATGGTTGGCTGAGGTTATGTTGGGCTTGCATCAGTTTGAGTTCTGTTCAAACCTGGTTTCTCTGCCTTCCATTCACAGGTGTTTATCCCTAATGAACATTTGTACCTCAGACACCATATTACCTCAGCTTCAGAGAAACCAGCCTGCAGTAGCTCCTGATAGCATGGAGCTAGTTTAGTGGAAGGGAATATAATCAAACAAGAAATTTAAAATGTTATCAATGTTATGTAGAAGCATAGGGTGCCATGGTAGTGCGTTATGGAAAGGACCAATGCCCAGCTAATTATATTGTTTTGAGAGGTAGCCTAGACTAGTAGTCAGAATATGAACCTTGGGCATACTGCTTACTCTCTCCAGGCCACTTTCCTCATTTGTAATATGGGAATGACACATATTCTATCATCCTTTAGAAGACTAGCCTGGGATTGCTCACGTGGTTGGGGAAAGATTCCCAGCAGTAAGAGGGAGCAATGCACATCTTCCAAGCCTCTGTTTCTGTCAGTTTGTTGATGTCCCATTGGCCAAAGCGGTTTACATGGCCAAGCTGTGATTCAAGGATGAAGAAGTAGACTTGCATTTATGTTTGTATTTACACACACACACGCTTAAAAATTACCAAACAGAATGTTATATAATAGTGATAGTTAAAATGTATTAAGCACTTTTTGTAAATAATGCTTAGTAAGAGTCAGCCGGACTATTATTATTTAATATGTTCTATCTCACTATGATATGAAAAAGAAGAAATGCTTTTAAATAATTTGGTATATTTGACGTCTTAAAATCATTTTAATGATAACACTTTTCACATAAAGTAAAGCTCTCTCTTTTTTTCCTCTGCAGTAAGAAAAGTGGAAAACCACCATTACAGAACAATGAGGTAACATTTTAAATCATCTTCTTTTTGGGATTTCATGTATTTATTTCATTTATTTTGTTATATGGTTCTGATTTAGGATAAAATTTTATAATTAGTAGGGAACTTAAAAATCCCTCCAGTCTTCTACACATTACAGGAATGCTGTCTGAAATAGGACTCCTGACAGGAAAGTGTTACCTTAGGAGGCAGCCATAACTGCATTAGTTCTAGCCCATGATGATATTAATTTCCCCCCTTCTAGCTTCTTAGCAGTGACTCTGTTATATCTTTTGTATCGAGATATATCTTGTCCCCCTACTCTTTCCCTCCCCCCTCCCCCACTTCCCTCTTTTTTCTTTTTCTTCCCTTTTCTTTAAAATTTCCTTTTTACCATCCAGGTCTCATTCTGTCATCCAGGCTGGAGTGCAGTGGCATGATTATAGTTCACTGTAACCTTGACCTCCTGAGCTCTAAGGATCCTCCTACCTCAGCCTCCGAAGTAGCTAGGACTGTCGGTGTGAGCCACCTTATCTGGCTGTTTTCTCTAGTAGACCCACATATATTTGAAGATAGTTGTATCTTATGAGTCTTTCTTTCCCTGTGCTAAGCAATCTTGATTCCTTCTAATATGTCTAATGTGACATGGGTTCTGATCCTTTTTCAGTTCTGTATACATTCCTTTGAACCTATAAGAGTTTCCTTAGGCATTGTGCTTAGAATGGAATGTAGTTGTCCAGTTGTGGCCTGACTAGCGTGGAATATATCAGCATGATTACATTTCTTGATATGAATACGATATTGCTAAATTTCATCCTAAAATTGCTTTATTTCTTTAACTATTACTATTTTTTACACTAAGTGAATTTTTTATGGTAAATTATAAACTTCAGGTGTATTTCTTACAAACAGCTCTACATCTCTACATGTTATATTCATGATAGCTTTATTGAGTTATAATTATATACCATAAAATTTATCCATTTAAGTGTATAAATGAGTAGTTAGTATAGTCACAGAGTTGTGTGGCTATCACCATTACCTAATTTTAGGAAATTTTCATCTCTCCAAAAAAAAATCCTATACCCATTAGCAGTCATTCCTTATTACCCTCTTCCCCCAATCCCTGGCAACCACAAATCTGTTTCTGTCTCTGTTGACTTACCTGTTCTGGACATTTCAAATAAATGAAATCATATAATATGTGGCTTTTTATACCTAGCTTCTTTCACTTAGCACAATGTTTTCAAGGTTCATCATATTGTTGGTGTATCAGTATTGCATTCCTTTTTATTGCTGAATAGTATTCTTTGTATGCATATACCACATTATGTTTATCAGTTCATCAGTTGGTGGACATTTAGATTATTTCTATTTTTTGGCTATTATGAATAATAATAATGCTGCTATGAAAATTTGTGCACAAGTTTTTATGTAGAGATATGTTTTTATTTCTATATCTAGGAGTGGAATTGCTGGGTCATATGTTAACTCAGTTGATTTGTTTTAGATAAACATTAATTTATTGCTGTAAATGTCAACTGATTGGATTTAACCTACTATCTATACCATTAGTCTAATTTTTAGTGCAATTTGCTCTGTGATATCTCTTAATCTTTGTTTCTGGTTATTCAGCTGTGACTACGTCCAATTATAGCAAAATCTGGTTCTTATTTCTCCATTAAGGCTACAATAATTTTACAAGAAACATCTAATTCCTTTATTAATTTATTAATTCACTTAGTAAGTTAATCTTTCAGTAAATATTTATTGAGCTCCTCATATATGCCTGGCATTGTTCTTGGCTCTGGGTATATGACAGTTATAAAAATAAGTTTCCATCCTCATGGAGCTTACATTCTACATATCAGCTAGTATGCTAGTATGGTATCCTTAACAAATAAGAAAATTAGAACAGTTTAACATGATGTACTTTTAGTAAACTCATGCTGGCTTCTAGTGATTAGTGTCTCTTAAATCTTCCCCAACTCTCCATGTCAGTGTCTGTTCTCTGAATATCCTGGTGATTGACATCAAGATTGTCATTCTTTAGTTTCTATAATATTTCCTTCCCAGTCTTTGAAAAATGTGATAAGATGTGCTTATGTTCACTTCTCTGATATCTCCAGCTCCACAATCTCTCATATCTAAGTTATATCTGAGTAATCAAATCTTAGTTATCTGAACTTAGTCATATCTGTTATTTGCATATCGGAGATCTGCAAGTTCTAGGACAGCTTGATTCATTTTACTCATTTTTTTCTTATTTTTCTGTACAATACTGTTTTAGCATATACTTATTTGCTGGTTGCATAGGGTGAGCAAGATAAATTTAGGTTATATTAAGTGATTGGCAATAAAAAGGACACAAGATGCACACTGATGCCACATTTGTTAAATTTATAGGAAGTACACACGTGTGCTAAAATGAAATCTAGTAGGATATGTAACAAAGACAGTAGGTTTAGTTTTCTTATTTTTGCTTATCAGAATTTTCTAATTTTTCTACAGTGAATATGTTACTTTTGAGGAAAGCAATGTAACCTATTTTCTTCATAGAAATTTTGTATATCCTTTGTGATGGGGATAGGGTGGGGAGAGGCAATTTTCATAAGACATAAATTTTAAGGAGAAAAAAGGATTTAATTAGAAAGAGAACAGTATAATGAAATTCAAAATGTATAAAGATAAGTACTGTGCTGGGTTCAGTATTTAGCATTCCCATGCATATTTTTGTATTTTGGCATGTCTGTGTATCCATAAACAATATAGGTAGAATTACTTTACATATTTAAAAGTTTCATAAATTCATGTGTAAAATGAATTGCATGCATCATTCTAATTTTTTCCAGCATACTGTTTTTTAGATCACTCCATGTTTAAAGCTGTAGACCTGCTCTTGCATATTGTTTCTATGTATGTGAGCTGCTTTCTTTTTTACAGTTGTTATAGAGTTTTCATTAAATAATTTTGCTATGATTTATGTAATATTGGTATACATTTAGGTTATTTTTCATTTTATGGTATTATAAACAGAGTACGATGTTTTCATTTGTGTGGCTAAGCATATGTGCAGGTATGTTTGTAGGGTAAGTTCCTGAAAGTAAATTTACTAGGTTATTTTACATTTTACAGTCAGTGTACATTTTACATTTTGATAAATGATATATAATAGTTGTACCAGTTTTCATTTTTCCCTACAATATACAGGAATACTTATACTGTGTCAGCACTACATGGCCTCTTATTTTACTGCTATTTCAAACTTCTTTTTCAGTCAATCTCACCTAAGGTGATTGACATATCAATAGGAACTTCTCATTGTACTTTGACCTTGTTACCTTTTGAATTTTAGGTTTTCTTTTTTCCTTTGTTACGTTATTACTTTGACTTCTCAAATAGCTTTTAATGATTTGTTTGCTTTTTCTATAATGTTCATGTTAAACTTATATCACCACAGTCATCCTTTTTTTGTATTTAAAAAAATTATTGGGAAGTTTAGAAGTGGGAAAAGTGGTCTTTTTTTGTATTTAAAAAAATTACTGGGAAGTTTAGAAGTGGGAAAAGTTCATTGTGAATTTAAAATGGAATCTTAGGAAAGGCTAGTAATGTTATGAAATATACTGCCTCTATAGTTACTCTTATTTAGATTGGTTTCAGGTAGAGTTTTGCTGTGATCAGGATACTCTCCTATTCCTGACATCTCTGAATTCAGCCCTTCTGAGCCAGCCTCCCCGTCCAGGTGGTCCTTTGCAGAAAACAATGATAATTTGGGAGAATATAGTTAGTTCCCTTCATGGATTGAAATGTAATGAAAATCCCTCAGCTTTCAGTCAGTTTAAGGATAGGGAAAGTGACAACAGGAACGGAAGAAAATGAGGAATTTTATACCAGTTAGCAACTAATATTTTAAAGTGTTTCAACTTTACTCTCTTGTAACTCTTTTTTTCTAACCTTCCTCATTGTTTGTCCTAGATCATTTCTTTAGAGTAGCTAGAAACAGGTGGTCTTCTGTTTAACTCAGATGTCTGTTTCACCTCAGGATTGTGCCACTTAAAAGTTCGAGCTAGGAATGGAGAAGGGTGTTGGCTACAGGTAAGGCAAGCTGAAGTGAGGAGGGAGTGGTGATGGTGACAGGAGGAAGAACAAATAGTTTAACTTCTTTTTTTTTTTAAAGGTAGTTAATATGTATGGCCTTCTCTTTACTCGTTTCTTCCTGTGTTTTCCGGGTTTGGGGAAAACACAAACAGAGATTAGGTTGAATGTGTAAGGTTTAGCTTGAGGAGAATACGCTAGTTCAACTAAATGGACTGTGAGTAGGGCTTATTTCTCTGTTTTGTTTGCTGTTGTGTCCATATCATTTGGAATAGGGTTTGGATCAAGTAGTTGTTTGTTGAGTGAATGAATGCATGCATGTATGAATTAAGCAGACTGAGCCTGTAAGTCAGTAGGATGAGGTTTTCAACCTTATCTGAAAGACTTGAAATGCTGAGTCTCTGTTCCAGCAGTTGCAGGTTAGGCTGATTCTTCTCCAGTTCCTCCTATTGTAGTCTTTCTATTCTAATCCTATAAACACCTTAGCACAGTGCCTTCAGACTGTGCCTTCAGACTTCCTTTTGTGGCCTATAGTTCTGCACTGCACTCAGTGCCTGTTTATTAGGATAATGTCTATAAAGCCTTAGCACAGTGTCTGACATATAGTTGGTAGTTATTATTATTCTAATTCGGTACCCAAACAGTTCACTCAAGGCTCATCAAGTTAGATGTTTATTTAATCAAAGCACATTTACATTATATCTAGCTAATAGAGTTACTCTACAAATAGAAACAGGTATTTGTTTTCAGGAGTTAGCCAGATAAGTGAGCTGTGATTATGGAGGTGGGGAAACAGTCAGGGAATTGGGGTTTTTCTGGAGTGTCTTGCCTTTTCCAAGAAGTTTCCCCTGTCTATTCTCCCAAACAGTTCAAGAGTAATGTCTCGTCACTTGTTTCCTTATCTTTGCAAATGGTTTAGTACTTCCATTTTCATGGAGCTAGTGAAAATGAAAAAACTCTTGAGAGAGGTAAAATTATCTTCTTTTAAATCCCTCTACACTAACAGTAAGCTCTCAGTCCTTACTGTGGCTTCAAGCCTCTGTCCTTTATAAGCCCTGCCTACCTTTTAAACTTCTCTCATTCCTGTTCCCTTTGCTGTAGCAATACTGCCATCTTGCTGTGAAATGTGCACACTTATTTTATTTCCAACACGTATTTTTGTGCTTGGTGTTCCTTGTGCTTCACTCCCTCCACCCTCGTACCCACTTTAAATAATCACATGGCTTTTCTTTCTTTGTGTCTAAGCTTAAATGTCAAGAGGCTTTTCAGACCATCCTGTGTAAACTGTTCTTTTTTTTTCCTCATGACCCTGCCTGGTCTATCCGTGATAATTTATTTATTGGTTTATTTTTTGTCTGTGTTTCTCCCGCTAGAATGTGAGCTGCATGAGTGAAAGAACCTTGTCTGTCTTTGAATCTTATGAGGAAGAGAGAGTGAATAGACAGACTGTATATTGGAAATGTTAAATGGTAAATCTAGGAATCCAAAAATTTCCTATATTTGGTATCAGGGAAAATTCTGTTCAGGATTTTTTTTTTTTTTTTTTTTTTTTTAAATATTGTGTTAATCAGGAAGTGGCTAATACAAAACTCAGTAAGCCCTTGGCCTTTTTTTCAGCTGTCTCTCTGACCTCATCCTCTGTGATGGTGCCTTCCTCACAGCTGCAGCCAGGCTGGCCATTTTGTTCTTCCTCAAGCACGTTGCAGGCATTCACCTTGGTATTTTGCAGTTGCTATTTCTTCTGCTTGCAGTTTTCTTCATCCAGATAATTATGTGGTTCCAGAACTCACTTCCTTATTCAGTTTTTAGATAACATTATTTTCTCAAAAACATGTTTGAATATGAGGAGCAGTGTAAGTATGCAAGTCTGGGCTTTGTAAATTCAGTATTTATCTTGATAACTGTTTATATTGACTTAGATAAAACATGGTTCTTTAATTTTATGATACATTTGTTATAGCAATCTTAAAAGGGCTTCTTGTTTTTAATGCAGAAAGAGGGGAAAAAGGAGCGAGCTGTGGTGGACAAGGTGTTTTTCTCAAGGCTCGCACAGATTCTGAAAATCATGGTCCCTAGAACATTTTGTAAAGAGGTAAGTCTTATGAAATTATAATCTTAAGTATATTGGACCATTCTTGAATAAAATACCTGAGTCTGGGTAATTTGTAAAGAAAAGGGATTTAATTGGCTCATGCTTCTGCTGACTGTACAAGCATGGCGCAGCATCTCCTCCACTTCCGGGGAGGCCTCGGGAAGCTGGCAATCACAGCTGAAGGTGAATGGGGAAGCCAGTGTCTCACATGGCGAGAGAGGGAGCAAAGGGCCGAGGAGGTGCCACATACTTTTAAACAACCAGATACATGAGAACTCACTCACTATCTGGAGGACAGCGCCATGCCATGAGGGATCTGCCTCCATGACTCAAACACCTCCTACCAGGCCCCACCTCCAACACTAGGGATTACATTTCAGCATGAGATTTGGGTGGAGACAGATACCCAAATTATATTATTAGGTGTTCAACTTTCAAGGTTACATAAGATTAGAGCAATAAAATCATAACTCTTTGGTTATACTATAGGTCAAATGTTTTCTCTGTAGGTAAAGAAGACTACTAAATTTTTGTCTTTAAATCATCCCTGCCATACAAAGACCCTTGTTCAGTGCCAGTTTTTAAATAGTTTTCTCTTGTTTATGAAATATTACTTCATTTTATGTGAAATACTAGGGTATTGCCGTGCAGCTACCTCAAATGGTATTGCTTTGTTATAATTAAATACTGTCAATAAAAACTGGATTAAATGTCAAAAGACAAACCTTTTTATTACATTGAGATGTTAACAAGTCACATTAGTGTGGAATGTATTTGATTAAATATTTTTAAGATAACCGAAATGATACCTGGATTCATCAGGTATTTCAGGAAGTGAGCTGATTGTATGAACAGTTTTATAATTTGTTCCTTTGCTCTTTTATCAAGATTATCTTCATTATTTCATAAACATTTTTAATGATTATTAAAATAATGCTGTGTTCTCCATCTTCCTCAGCATTCTCTCGTTCTGTAACTAGAAATATCATTACCTTCAATTCTTCCTCTTCTCCTTGTCACCCTTTTTGACCACTGGGATCTGCTAATTTTTCCTATACTTAACTGTTAAAAAAACATTGTAGTTCCCAAAGACAACATCCATTTCTTCATCATGCTGGATTTGCTCTTCCCCTAACCTTGGCATCATGTCCTGATGATTCTGCTCTTGAGAAATTCTTTTTTAAAAAAGTAATGGTACTTGTTTTTTCCTAATTAGACAGAGGTAATACATGGTGCTTGAAGAAAATTAGAAAATGCAGCTAGATTTTTTTTTTGGCACCTATCAGCCTCTTACTCATTTTGATATATAGTCATCTTGTGTGCAAGCATATATTTTAATTTAAAAGTGAGATCACACACTTTTAAGATCTGCTCCTTCCCTTATATTATAAATGTTCTTTCTAAGTATCCTAAAGTTTCTCTTAAATTATTCTCTCCCTTTACATTCCTATTGTTCTCACTATATCTTACCTGGATTATTATATCTTAATTGGTCTTTTTGCTTCTTTTCCTTTTCCAATTTGTATTCTTTCTTAAAATCCTGATTAAAACATGTGACTTCTTTTTTCTTTCTTTCTTTCTTTTTTTTTTTTTTTTTGAGATGGAGTCTCGCTCTGTCGCCCAGGCTGGATCTCGGCTCATTGCAAGCTCCGCCTCCTGGGTTCACGCCATTCTCCTGCCTCAGCCTCCCGAGTAGCTGGGACTAGAGGCACCCGCCACCGTGCCCGGCTAATTTTTTGTATTTTTAGTAGAGACGGGGTTTCACCGTGTTAGCCAGGATGGTCTCGATCTCCTAACCTCGTGATCCGCCCATCTCGGCCTCCCAAAGTGCTGGGATTACAGGCTTGAACCACCGCGCCCGGCTGTGAGTTCCTTTTTCTTATAGGGTAAATTACAACCTGACTTTGGCCTTCCTTTTAATATCATCTGCTTAGGAGAGTATTGTTTTATGATCTGGCCCTATGTCCTCAACCTTTCATTTGTTTACAACATCATGTCTGTGACATCCTGTCCGTCCCCACAACAGAAACAAATATGTTTTTAAAAATTGATTAATGCTTATTATCTTTTTTGTGAATATTTCCAATGACTCTTCAGGCATAACTAATTGTTTTCTTTCATTTCTACAACTCTCCTGCCTTTGAAGAATCCTTATTTAAAATACAAGCTTTTCTGGAAAGATTCGTATATTACCTTCCAATCAGTTAACAGCTTAGTGTTCATTTCAACTATTGCAGGAGTTCAATGAATGTAAAACAAATTGGAGATATTGGATGAGTCCCTGGGAATTAGTAAGGGAGGTAGAAGGGGCTAATTTGAGCCTCCCACTCTCTGCAGGCCTTCTTCCCTTACTTTGGCTTCTATGTCACTGTCTTATTCTTCCAATTTAGAAAATTTAAGATCAGCTTTAAATGTATGTACTTGGGGTTGGGGTGGCAGGATTCTCATCTCACAGAAAGATAACTGATTCCTACCCAGTGTCTTGACTTTCCCTGCTTTGTAATCTGTCTTGCACAGCATTGCTTAAGTAATATTCTTTAAACGTCACTTTTTAACATCACTTTTTGTTCTACTGAGAAGCTTGCAATAATTTTATGTGTATAAACTCAGTACAGTACCATAGTTCATGTGATTTTAATCCCTTTTTCTCCCATTAAATCCTTCATCTTTTTTACCCTTAATCCTCATTCTCTTTTTTGTTTTACTATTTATCGTATTTCTAATGCCATAACTGTCTTTTGGCACCCCAAACCTTCCCATCCCACAGCTTAGGACATGAAGTGATACAAATATGTTTGCCTAAATTTGTCTGCTACTTTTAAAGTATAATTCTTCCCTTCATAACTAAATTGAAAGCCCTATGAGGGCAGACACTCTTCCAAGTTTTTCTAACAAATTAAACCAAATTTATTCTACCTAGGCAAAATTGTAGGCTTCAGTTTTGGTTAGTTAGCTGTATATTTACAGTTACTGTCTTTTTTCTTTGTTAAAGTTATATGTTAAAAATATAAGAAAATAACAGTACACTATAATCTGGGTAATCTAAGTTATATTCCTAGCTTCTGTCTTTGACTAGGTATATGAAGGCAAGTCCTTTGACCTGCCTTGAAATCACTTTTGAATTCTGAATGAGAAAGATTAAATGAATCTATGAGGCCTTTTTCATTTATGTAATATTCTTGAGTTCCCTTTTAACTATATTTAAAGTTGCTCATAGAAAAAATGTCAGCCAACTGTATTAAAGCTTACATAAAGCTTTAGATTTGGAAACCAAAAATTGTTACCAAGGTAATATTTCTTTGAACTTTCTAAAATGCATTTAGTTAATTTACTATACCTGGTTTATTTTAGACAGGTTACTTGGTACTTATTGCTGTTATGCTGGTGTCTCGAACGTATTGCGATGTTTGGATGATTCAAAATGGAACACTAATTGAAAGGTACTTTTTCATTCACCTTCCTCCTATATGTATGCAATGCTAATTGTCTCATATTTAAGCATTATCTTTATAAGCAAGAGATAGATTCTAAATTAGGCAAAAGATACTCAAGTCAAATTATGTGTTTGTTCATTTACTTAAAAAATACTTAGTGTTTCCCATGTGCCAGGCAATGTGCTGTACTGTGATAAGGGTCTATATGCCAGCGACTAGGAGAAACTGTACCAAGCCTTGCTGAGCTGACAGTTTATCAAGAGTTAGAGACAAGTAGACAGAAAATTAAAATGCAGTATAATAATTGCTGTAATGGGAATTCTAAAAATCCACCAAGTTGGATTTCTGAAATTAATTAGATAATTTGGAGAAAAATTTCAAAGCATTTCAAAGAATCACATTGAGTGTGTTTATTAGAAGGGAAAACAGTTCTTAGACATTTCTTTCCGCATCTGGTGTTAGTGCTTTTTATATTTTTTCATTATAGTGTTTCTACATATTATTAATCACTGCAAATTGCTGATTTTGAATGTAAAAACATAAAAAATGTCAGTTGGGATATCTTGGGTTATAACAATTTACCATTTATCCATTAATAAATAATTTATTTTTCATAATACCAATTAGAATGTCAGAGTAAAAAATTTTACTAGGAATTTTATTTCCTGATATGCAATATTTTGTCAGAAAATTCCTTAAAAGTATTTAATCTAAAATAACTTTTTGAATGACAGTACTTAAAATTGTTAAATGCCCCAACATTTTGGAATAAAGGTTTTTTTTCTCTTAGATTATCGATCTGCTTCCTAAAGATTTGTAGGAAGAGGAAGAATGCTTTATGACCATGCTCTCTGACTCATTTCTCTAGGACAGTAAAGAATCTTGTATGTACAGGATTAAAGCCCTTAAAGTACATACCTCTGAATAGGGGTAAATTATGTAGGCCCTCACATTCCACCCAAGTCTCCCTGAAACCTGTGGTCAGTCCTGCGCCTTTTAATTTTATTCAAAGTAATATATGAACATAGCTTTAAAAGTAATACATGAACATAGCTTAATGTCAAATGTCCTGCAGGACTTAATGACAAAACACATCAGTTCCTTGGTTCCTCTCACTCCTAACTGTCATTACCTGGAGCCAGTCATTTTCTATTCTTTTTACTGTTGCATTTATTTTGTGTCTGCGTTTCCATATTGCATACTTGTATTACTGTTTATAGATTTCTTAGTTTCAAAAGTGTAAGTGTTCATCTCCTACTTTGGAAGGTGAGAATTAGCCCTTTTACACTCCCTCCATGCTCATCTTCTCAATGTTTTTTATATATAATAAAAATTATATAATTTTTTATTAAATCACAATTTATTGTTCACATAATTTTGACTATTGCTTACAGCTGAACCACATGGCATACTTTGGTAGTTGCTTTTCCATACAACTTTTTGTTTTTCCTGGTGTTTACAAATTGACAGTTATTTGTGCACATTATTATTTTTTTTAAACCTACTTCCCCCTAATTCAGCTTGAGCTTTTTGACAATACTGTGAAATCTTCTCAGTATTGTAATATGGTCAGACACCAACTAATCTATCAACTTCATCTTTCTATTTCCACCCCCGCCCTATATGTTTTGTAGTTTCCTGTGTTTTGCTTTTTTTTTGAGATGGAATCTCACTCTGTTGCCCAGGCTGGAGTGCAGTGGCACAATCTCAGCTCACTGCAACCTCCGCCTCCTGGGTTCATGCCATTCTTCTGCCTCAGCCTTCAGAGTAGCTGGGACTACAGGTGCCCACCACCATGCCTGGCTAATTTTTTGTATTTTTAGTAGAGACAGGGTTTCACAGTGTTAGCTGGGATGGTCTCAATCTCCTGACCTTGTGATTCGCCCACCTCAGCCTCCCAAAGTGCCAGGTCTTCTTGCTTTAATCAGGATTGGTTGCATATTAGGTACACCGAATAGCAATCATGTTTGAACTTGCTTTTATCATTATTCTGGGAATTTCTTTCATCTTTGTATCCTGAATTAAATAACCTGTTTCTGGATTTTTTTTTTTTTCTCTTCCTCAGTTTACTTTCTTGGTTTGGCAGATGCACTCTTTTTCTGAATAAAGGTGAAGGGAGATAAATTTTTGAGACCTTGTAGATCTGAAAATTTCTTCTAGTCTCGTACTTGATTGATAATTTAGCTATGTTGGTGCCTTCCAAGTTGGAATTCACTTTTCTTCAGAATTTTGAGAGCATCACTATGTTCTGGGTCTCAACCTTGGCTGCAGAATGATTGGAATCATCTGGAGAATTTTAAGAACTATGAATGTCTGGACCCTACCACTAGATATTCTGATTCAATTAATCAAACCTTTTTGAAGCATCTGGTAGATTCTGTTGTGCAGCTCCAGGGTGGGTATTGAGGCCTCTTGCTATTCTGATTGCTCAGCTGTAGCTGGAGATTTGTTTCTCCCTCAATCTCCCCCTTGGTCTTTTTTAAAAAATTGTTGATGTTGTGTTACTGGATGTTTGAAAATTTCACTGAACATTGGTATGAATTTTTTGTGCTGGGCACTAGGTGAACTCTTTTTCCGTCTAGAAACTCATTCTTCATTTGAGAAATTTTCTTGTGTTTAAAAAGAAATTATTCCTCTCAAATTTTTCTGGAATTCTTATTAGCTGAGTGTTGGAGCCTCTGGACTGATAATCTGATTATCTTATAATTTCTCTTCTATTTTTATCTCTGCCATTTTATTTTATTTTCTAGGAAATTTCTTTAACTTTATTATCCAGTGAATTTTTATTTAATTTTATTTCCAAGAGTTATCTTTTATATGGATGTTCATTTTTATAGCAGTCATTCTTTTAAGGATGCAATATTTTTTCACCTCTGAAGCCATTTAATTTTTTAATGTGTTTTTAGCTCCCTGCATTTTTTGTTTCCTTCATGGTGCCTTTGTTTGTTATTCTGTTGTCATTCACATTAGAGGCTTTCCTCAAGCATTCTATGACTCTTGGCTATGAATTCATATTTAAAATGAAGTGCCTTAAACACTTACTAGAAGCTGGAGTTGAGAGCTTAATTGGTCTCCCTTGAAGGGTGTTTGTAGGGGAGCCTAATCATGTGCACGTGTGTATAGTACTCAGTTTTAAAATTTAATTATGAGATTTTTAAAAATTGCTTTTCATTTTTTATATGAGTTTGTGAACAAGTTTTTAAAAACCATTATTTTGGTATACTTTACACTTACGGAAAAGTTGTAAAAATAGAATAAGGGGCTGGGTATAGTGGCTCATGCCTGTAATCCCAACACTTTGGGAAGCTGAGTCAAGAGGATCACTTGAGACCAAGAGTTCAAGACCAGCCTGGGCCACACAGTGAGACTTTGTCTTTACAAAAAATAAAAAAGTTAGCTGACTGTGATGGCACATACCTACTACTACACAGGCACAACTACATAGGAGGCTTAGCAGAAGGATCGCCTCAGCTTAGGAATATCCTCTCAAAAAAAAAAAAAAAAAGATTAGCATAAGGAACTTCCTTATATTCTTAACCCACACTCACCAATTGTAAAACACTCATTTTAAAGTTGTTAACTTTCTCCTAAATAGTTTTGAGCCTCTGCTGTGTATGAAATTCTTTAACATTTGGACCTTATCTCAAAAAAAGAAGTTTTAAAATATTGTACATTCGTACAGGATAATTTTGTTTGAAAAGTTAACATATATCTCCATCTCAGTATTTAAGCTACAGTGCAAATTTATTTATTTATTTTCCCTTTTTGCTTTTTCTAAAGTAAGCCCAGATTCATGTATTTCTGCTAAAGAGAGCCTTAAGGAGACTTATTATGGTCCTTAATGTACTTCATTTTAATATTCTTTTCATATTTTAAACTTATTTGTTGATGGTGACTAATGACTTTGGAGTATGGAAAATCTTAATAGGAAAGACACCCTCTTTAGGGTAGAAACTATACTAATTCTGTGACATGGAGGAAAATTCTTTGTACCCTGTTGCTGCTTTATCTAATCATAAAAATATGTTTTATTTTCACCCATTTGGCTACAAGCAGAATTTAAAAATTACCAAACTCTCTTTTATAAAGTTTCTTAAACATTTGGAAGTTGCAGTGATTAGGGCTATTGTAAAATTGTTTTTGTTAATTATTTTTTTTGCAGTGGAATAATAAGCAGAAATAAGACTTTATTCAAGAAACCACTTTTTAAATTTATAGCTGCTACTCCAATGGTAAACCATTGCTGAATGATGGCATGTTCTTGTGTGTTTCACAGCTTGGGCAGCACTAAAGCACTTTGGTTTTATGTAAGGTTTGGTTCATACAATTTTAACATAAATTCTCTGAACCCACTTGTCTTGATTGCTTAATGTCTCTAATATTCTTATTGCTATAGACAACATTTTTGTGTGGTTCTATTTAACTTTCTTGTAGTTAGCCTTTTTTTTTTTTTTAACTGTTTTGCTTTTTAGGGGCTACATAAAAATTGGAGTATTAATTTCTTTCAATCAGTCTAAAGGAACATTTCCCAAAGTATGTTCTGTGGAATCTTGGCTATGATAGAGGAAATGCTTCATGCTACAAACCCCTCACAGAGAGTTAAAATGCACATACTATACATTAAAAGCTTTGAGAAGGTCTCTAGTCATATACTAGTTATTTTTGTGTGTGCATGGGCAGCTAGGTTTAAACCAATTAGTCTAGTGTTTCTCAAATGTTTTATACAAATGCATTTTATGAAATTTGGGAATATTACTAAGTATTATTTGAAATAAGAGTTCTGTGATCAAATAGATTCTATCTTTGTATTAGGTCATATACATATCTTACTCAAAGATCCTTTACTTATATAATAATGCTCTGTTCAAATTTTTAATTAAAACCCTTTTAAAAAATTTTTAATGTATATTTTAAAAGCAGAAAAATACGTAAAACAGATTAACAATAGGCAAAAGAGGAGCTGGTCTAGTTGAAGTGTGTTGAGGAACATGAAGCTTCTATAGATCCATTCTGGGCTCTGATCTATGCGTTAGTGCCAGTCTTGGCAAACTAGGACCCACAGGTCAAATCTCACTACCTGCCATCTGCTTTGGTAAAGTTTTATTAGAATACAGCCACACTTCTTGGCTGCTTTTTTTTTTTTTTTTTTTTTTTTTTACTGTGGCAGAATTGAGTAGTTGCAGCAGAGCCCTTAGGGTGCACAAAGCCTAAAATATTTACTCTTGACCCTTTACTGATCCCCATTAGTCTGTCTCCCTGCCATTAGTTCACACAAATGAGAATCAGATTGTTAAATATTTTAAAACAAACAAATGGTACTTTGTTTATTCATAATAATCCATTCCTGGGACTATAAAGTTGTTAATTGTTTTGCTCGCTAAATTTGTTTTGTAGCCACTTAAGCCTTTTTTTAAAGCAGCCATTTTTACTAAGAAATAATTAGTTATCATTCTGTTTAATTTCGCCTTTTGCAGGATGAGGTTCCAGCAAGTTCAAAATGATGATGTTTTAAAGTTGCAAACATATTTTTGCAAAAAAGTGTTTTTTAGCATCTTTTTTATTGATTGTTTTGATTTAATAGAAGTTTCCTAGAGTAATTTTAGAGCTTTACAGAGGTTTTCCTAGTGTTAGATTTTGCTTCTTTTGCAACTAATGCATTGCATGTGGTGGTTTGCAGTGGTATCATTGGTCGTAGCAGGAAAGATTTCAAGAGATACTTATTGAACTTCATCGCTGCCATGCCTCTTGTAAGTTTAATTCATTAAAAATCTTTTTAACACAGGGGAAATTTGCATCTTTTAAAAATCTTTAAGGGTTTTACTTATTAAATTCTTTAAAGATTTATGATACTATATTCCTATTTTCAGTTTAGGTTTGTAATTTATAGTATAATTTTCAATGTAAACCTTCATACTAGATAAAAAGGGGATTATGTTTGGTTTAACTTCATTTATAATGTGTATGTATATTCATATACATATGTATGTGGGTGAGGGGTTTTTTGGCATTTTTTTTTTTTAACCTTCAGTCCAGGTTTTCCTTGGTGTTTAGCAGCATCCCATTAGATAGCAGCAGCACCCTTCTCTTAGTTGTAACAACCAGAAATGTTTCCAGTCATTGCAAAATGCATGTGGGCGGGGGGCAACTTGGGGAGTTGGGGGGGATTTAGAGAGGGGAGTGCAAATCATCCTGGTTGCTTTAGGCCATAAACTAGTATCGTAACTTGTACTACTAATCTACTTCAAGTTAAATTGGAATTTATGGTCTGAATTTTTTACAGATAAATTGTTTAGTCTAAAATATAAGTGATTTTCTTAGTTTGGTTCTCATTTTAATTTTCTTGGCACTGTAAGAACTTAATGTTCTAAATTTGTGGGTAAAAATGAGAAGCTTGGCTGTAAAATCCAGTTACGTTGAAATTGCCAGAAATTCTTGTTTAATAAAGCTGGAAGATGGGGCCACATAGCTTTTAGACTTTTTAAAATAAACAATTGGAAGTAAGCAACACAGATATGAAAGATTAAGATTCAGCAAAGACCACTTGAGAAAATTTTTAATGTAACGATCGAAAATGTTAGTAAAGATGGCTCTAAATATAATCTGGAAAATAGCATCAGTTGGTGTAAAACCTGTAGTTTTTTTTTTTTTTTTTTTTTTTAACAAATGCAAATACAGTGTATATAGAATTCCATTGTCTAGGGTTGTGGTGCTGATAGTAGGAAACAGAAAATATAAATGTCTGAACTCCTAAAAGCAAGTCTTCACATTGGCTAGAAAGGGGATAGATTTGACGTTTTGCCCATTTACCAAAAAAAAAAAAAAAAAAAAAAAAAGGCAAGATACGTCTCATAATTAGTGATATTAACATATTCCATGTAAAGTTTAACATAGAATAATTCAAACCAGGTACATTTAATTTAGCTAAATGCAGTAAAGTAAAACAGAACTGAATTATATAATTTGGATTCAATTATAAAAATTATAGGATTTGGGACACAGGAAATAATGGAGAAATAAATTATAGTTTAGTAAGCAGAAATGAAAAGCAAAACCAATAACATTTGTTTGTTTGTTTTAGATCTCTCTGGTTAATAACTTCTTGAAGTACGGGTTAAATGAGCTTAAACTGTGCTTCCGAGTAAGGCTCACTAAATACCTCTATGAGGAGTATCTTCAGTAAGTGATAACCTGTTTTTATATTAAAAATATTTAAATAGAAGAGTGCTATTTGTGAAGCTGATCAATATAGCGGTTTTTCTTATTTGTTGTATGTTTTCTAAGAAAACCACTCTTAGGTACAGAAGCATATTGGGAACAACCTCTCAGTTATTTGGAATCTAGTCCTGGCTTTTCCATTAATTGACAAGTCATCATTTTCTGGACTTGTGTCCTCCTCTCTAAAATCAGGGCAATCGATAGGATCTCTTCTGGCTCCAAACTTTTTTGTTTCTATGTATTTGAGCTAGGCGGTGTAATGTGATTTTTTTAGTTGTTTTTTTATCTTTAAAGTCACTTGTTTTAAAATTACTTTTCTTCTTGCTATTTTAGATCTTTCACATATTATAAAATGGGAAATCTGGACAACAGAATAGCTAATCCAGACCAGCTGCTTACACAAGATGTAGAAAAATTTTGTAACAGTGTAGTCGATCTGTATTCAAATCTTAGTAAGGTAAGTTTCTCTACTTTTTAAAAGATTATTTGTTTAATTTGTTGAATTTTGAATCTAAGCAAATTTATATAGAATTGATTTTATGGACAGAACAGCAGCATGTAAATATTTAATGCTTTTGTAAGAAAATTAGAGTTGTTGTAATAGTTTTAATTATTTTAATTTTTTCTATTTTTTTTGTGAGGTACTTTGGCAAAGAACTGATAATTTAGTGTCTTATAAGGATTTTCTAAGAATTTTGCAGGTTGATTCCATTAAAACAGCAGAAATTTGAATTCTTATCTTTTGACCTGCGTGTGTCTGGCCATTGTTAGAGATTGGCTGTCAATTTATGTTTCTAATTCCACACTTAGAACACTAGACTAGGACTTCCTTTCTGCCCATTTCTCTGCTTCAGTATCTTTAATTCTAATAGATCATTAGTAAGTAGTAGTCAAAACATTTCACAAGATGCAAGTATATTTCAGTTTTCTAATTACTGTTTTTCCCATTCTCCTCAGAATATTGCCAAAGCTCCTGACTCTGATAGGCCTTAACCAGTTTTCCTTCTTCTCGCCGATTTCTCCAGTTCTTGTCTTAGTCATGGTATCTCACCACCCTTACAGCTTTCGCTGTAGTCTTCTTATTAAACCCTCTGTGCCATTACCTCTTGCATTGACTATGATATGTAGTAGGCACCTATAAAATAGTCTGCCCAGCATCCCCTCCCCTCTTCATCTGAGATGCTTCAGTTCCCACTCTAACTCATGTGACTTCCCTTGGTGTTGGGTAGGAGCTTGTCTCATACTGGACCAATGATAGTATCTTTGCCTCTGGTCACAGTTGACCTAGATACACAGTTTTGAGACAAAAGAAAACGAAAACTATAAAAAGGACTGGGTCACATTGTAAGAATAGGAATGTCCTAGCTTCATCCAGGTTGATGGAGGGAAGGCAATTCTTAGAGATATATATCCACAAGAGCTGCTCTCCTCATGCCCAGGCCCAGTGCTTTTCACTTCCAGCCCAACTTTGTTATTTATTTAGCTCTCCGGAAGCCTTTGCTAACTGATCCCAAACTCAGGAACTCTGACAATTACAAATAGTTCAGTAATTCAGCTTTCTCTTCTGTTCCCATTACAATATTTGAAAGTTTGTTCTCTCTCTCTCTCTCTCTCTCTCTGTGTGTGTGTGTGTGTGTGTATGTGTGTGTGTGTGTGTGTGTGTGTATGCATGCATGGTGGGAATGGGGGGTGTATGTATACAACTTTCCATATAATTTTATAGACATTATTATGTACTCTTTAAATCTTGGTACTTGAGCAACTCTCAGGTTTTGTCACATCTGGAATAGAGAAGAATGTTAAATTAATTAATTGTAGTAGGGCTGTGCACCACTGTGTAAATTAGATGTTTTAAACATCTAATTGACCTCCAACTTAAATTATGAGCCATTATTTTTGTTATAAGTTTTAACAATTCTTGAATTTTCTAAGTATCTCTAGCTTCTTGATAATTTATAAGGCAAAAAAAAAAAAAAAAAAAAAAAAAAAAAAAGGGAAAAGGATGTTGAATGTTGAAACAAGCCAGTTAACAAACCAAGCCATCTGTCCTAATAATGTAGATTAGAAAGTGCTGGCTGTTGGCCCAGCACAGTGGCTCATCCCGGTAATCACAATACTTTGGGAGGCCAGGGTGGGCAGATTGCTTGAGCTCAGGAGTTCAAGACTATCCTGGGCAACAGGGTGAAACCCCATCTACAAAAAATACAAAAATTAGCCAGGCATGGTACTGGGCACCTTTACTCCCAGCTACTTCAGAGGCTGCAGTGAGCCAAGATCTTCAGGCTGGGTGACAGAGCCAGACCCTGTCTTAAAAAAAAAAAGTGGAGGCACGAGCAGTGGCTGTTGACTTAAAGTGAATGAACACAATTTGGGTTTCTTGAAAAACATTTCTAACTAATGCAACTGATGGTGCATTAGTTGAGTTGTCTCTGTGTGTGAAGAGCAGTACATTAATGTATTATTTTGGTTCTAAAGACTTGACTTTTATATTTCAAAATTAGATTCAATGACTTACTTGATTATTTTGCCATAGAAGTGATAATGTAATAGAATCAAACAATATTGAAAGAGGAAAAGCTTCTCACTTTACAGGTGAAGATATGTAGAAACAAGCTGGTAGCAGATTTGGGGTTACATCTCAGGTCATTTTATTTAGTATCTTTACATTATATTGACACATTACTGAGTTACTGGTGGTTAATTATCACAGTAGAGGTATCTTAGTTGATGGAAAGTGATAAATGTTTTTCCTACTTGATGGTCAGTAGACATTGTGTAAGCTGTTCCCATTTTAAGTTTCTTGAGAGGAAAACTGTTATCTTTCATGTATTCTTTGATCTAGTTACTATCACAATACATTATACATAGTGGGAACTCTACATGTTGATAATTATGTATTAAATGTTTAATAACATTTTGTAGTTAACATGTTGTATTAGCTATCATTCTAGTGCTTTAGTTTTAATTTGTGTATTCTAATATTTATTTTACAGCCATTTTTAGACATAGTTTTGTATATCTTTAAGTTAACGAGTGCAATTGGAGCTCAGGTGAGTCTTCTTTTATTTCACCTTTTAAATTGATATAATACAATATTTGAAATACATATTGTGAATAGCTTGATGGCCTGTAAGAATTTTTGTATATCTCAAAGAATGTATTTTCACATGATTTACCTAACAAAGTCCAGTTATAAAATAATACTTTACTCGAGATTTTAGAATTACTAATTTTTCTTCTTAATTTTCAATTTTGTGGCATTAAAAACCAGACAAGTATATTGGCCAGGGGTGGTGGCTCACGTCTGTAATCCCAGCACTTTGGGAGGCTGAGATGGGAGGATCGCTTGAATCCAGGAGTTCGAGACAAGCCTGGATAAAAAGCGAGACCTGCTTCTTTTAAAAAAAAATGATAAAACAGAAGTATTTAAACCATGAATATACTTATACTTATTGTTTCAAAGTAATGTCTAAAAAGAGATATGGAGACGTCCATATTAATATGAAATTCTAATGTTAAAGTAACGATACATTTAGAGTGGGTATAACAGTTCCAAGAATATTTTATAATATAAATGGTTGGCTATCCCATGAGCCTTATTATCCAAGTCTGATATTTGTGATGGCAAGAATCACTTTTAAGTTTTCTTTGAGGTATCTTATTGAAATGTAACTTTAGTCATTTAATATGTAATGTTATTGTTATATGTTTATAACGCAACCATATAATAATATGGTTGTTTTATATATGTGTGTGTGTGTGTATATGCATTTCAGTTGATTAATAAATTATTTCCGTACTGGTTTTTGTTGCTTTCCAAAACACTGGGAAAGCAGGGTTTTGGTTTTGCTTTGTTTGGTTTTTTGAATTTTTCTGTTTATCTTCCTAATTCTTTGCTATCGTGTGATCCAGGTTTTATTATTCTTATATTTTGTTTTACTGTAAGCAATTGAATAGGCCAAATCCTTCTTGTCTCCTTACAGTCATATTTTTATGGTACTTAGCTACATTTTTGTGATACTTAAATATGTCTCCATGTCTACCTGTTATCTGATTCTGCATTTCTTAAAGCCAGAAACTGTTTTAGTTATCTTTTTGGTTCACATTTGTAGTAGTTGTTGAAATGCATTGAATTGATCAGATTTAATTTTTTTTTTTAAATCTTGAATACATACTAGCACATATATTGTACTAAATAGTAGGAATAAAAAAATAAGTAAGACACAGTTCCTGCTGAAGAGAAATTACAATGTGGTAAAACAGGTAGATAGTCAAACAGTTATAATGCAGCATGATAAAGTTTAGTAATAGAAGTTTCAATAAAGTATTTAGTGCCAGGAAGAACTGGAGGTGATATCTGAGCTGCTTTGGGGAGGTAAGTAGACATCCATTAGATTATGTCATGCTTGCTAAACATAAGAACAATCCCACTAAATGGAAACAGTTCAGGAAACATTTATTTTAGTATGGCAGAGTATAGTGTACATAGGAGAATGAGGGAAGTGCCTATGATGAACTTGGAAATGTATGTTTGAAGCTTTTCTCTTGGGATGGCCAATGGGTGATAAGGTCACCTACAAAGTTATTAATACATAGTACAGCAGCTGGAAGCAAGATGTACAAGCAGGGAAAGACAGAGCTCGTTCGGGGGGGAGCTGAACTTGAGGCATCTGCACAGTATTAAGGTAAAGATGTGTAGTACTTATATCTTGGGTTCATAAGAGTTATAGGTCCAGGGGTATAGATTTGAGATGAGAAGAGAACTAAGAAAGGAATTTGAGGGAATATTAATATTAAAAGAGAAGGCAAGAAAAAGAGGTCTAAGAATTATTGTGGAATCTTAAGAGATTATCAAGAAGAGTTCCAACAGAAGAGTGTTAGATAACAGGAAAAGTGAGAACTGCAATTAGGAGTTTTTAGGTGAGCAAAATGTAGGAGAGCTGAGATAAGCTACAGTGGTGAGAGGAAAAGCTCATGAGTGGTAAAAGTGTAGAGGCTACTGTGTACTTTTTCAGAAAAAAAGCAAGGGGAAAAAATTACCCAGTAGAGCAATTTCTTTCAGTCATTGAGGTTAATTATAAAAATTGTACGTTTGTATCTAAGTGAATTTATTATTATATCCCAGAACTTTCTGTATCTTTCTCTCCTGATAATAATAGGGCCCAGCAAGCATGATGGCCTACTTGGTTGTTTCTGGGCTATTCCTAACTCGACTTAGAAGACCCATTGGTAGGATGACAATAACTGAGCAAAAGTATGAAGGAGAATATAGATATGTTAATTCTCGGCTCATCACAAACAGGTAAAGACAAATGCATTAAAGACTTGCTAAAAATTCATTTCCATGGATATTGATGTCATTTAAATTGACTCCAAAATGTCTAGTAACACTGTTACTGTAATAATGTGCATATTGTATTGAAAATATACATTATGAAAGAGACTAGTTTTATAAAGTAGTGATCATGAATATTTTGAACTCTTTCTTATTAACTATGTAGTATTCTTGATTCACATGTTCATACCTTCTGTTGAATTTTCTGTTAATTTTACTTTAGACATAATCAGTTTACAATTAAAATTTCAACTTGCAATACCTGTTCCAAGAAAATTTTGTCTTAGTTTTTCCACAAATATTTTTATTTTGACTTTTCATAATGCTCAGTGATTCACTGTCACTGCATGTGCCTCTACCTATTTTCTAGAGTTTTTTAAATGTAAGATAGGAAGAGAAAGTGTGGACTTCGGAGCTAGCCATACTAGTTTCAAAATCTACTTCTTCCACTTATCAATTGCATGTATTTGATTTTAGTGAATTATTCATAGTTTCACTTTTGTTTATAATAGGTAGATAATACAGGGTTGCAATGAGGATTAAATTTGGTAATATATATAAAGCTTCTAGCTCAGTTTTCTATACGGAGCAAATGCTTAATAAATGTTCTCATATATTGATCTGTCAATGTTAAGTCATTTTGAGAGTTTTAATATGTATTTAATATTCTACTCTGTAGGCATTTACAAATGACAATTCCCTCTTCCTTTATTTCCTTGGATTGCTAAAATAGTACAAGTTTTAAATAGGGTTTTTTGCTCTAGGGAGGCAGTGGAATAGAGTTAAGAGGTGATTTGCCAAGTAAATGAAAGATGCCTTTTACTGAAAGAAACAGAAAGCATGACTCATGGCTCCAGTAATAAGAACACTCACTGCTTCACATGAAAACGCTTAAGACAGGGCAGTTCCAGGCTGGCATTATCAGGGGTCTGGCCCTCTGGTGTCTCTTGGCTCTCCCCTGCTTTGTCTGCTGCCCCATTCCTCGGGCTAATTCTTCTTGTGACCACAAGATGGCGATAGCAGTTACAGATTTCACTAGCTTCTCTCCCCTGCAGAAAGCTCCAGAAACAAAAAGGGGCCATCTCTCCTGGTGTATCTTTATGAGAGCAAAGAAACCTTTCCCAAGAGTCCCACAGCTGACTTTCCCTCATATCTTATTGGCTGGAATTATCACTTGACCATGCCTAAAGCAATCACAGCAAAGTGATTGGCTTAGACCAGTTGGGACCCTATAAATGGGGTCGAGGCATTCCTAAAGCACTAGGGTACATGGAAAATAATAGATAACTTTAAGAAGGAGGGGATTATTTTAGGAAGAAGGACAATGAAGAGAATAGATGTTGGATGGGCAGCCATCAATATTCCAGGATGTTTTATCCTTTCAGATTTTTCATTAAGGCTAAAATGACTCAGTTCAGGAGGAGAATCCTCACCTCATCTTCTTCCATAGGCTTAGGTGTAGAGAGGAGGTAGAAGGAAGTTTTTTAAAAAAGTAATTAGAGGTATAGAACTGTAGGCTTCTTATACTCTGAGGCTCTGTGTCATTTTGTCAAGGAAACCATGAAACACATGACAAATGTGTCGTATTTTATGGGAAATTAATTTTACTTGAAGAGGTTGAGGTAGGTGGTACCTTGTTTTTATGAAAAACACAGGTCCATTTCAAAATAGAAATATAAAACATAAATTGTTTAGGGGAAAAAAGAGACTTTAAAGAAATATTTCAACCTTGCCTTCTAGACTTCTCTATGAATATTTACCTCTGCCATAAGAGGTACTTTGCTGGGAAAGCTTACATCTTGCCTGTGTAATAGAAAGACTATAAATGTTAGGGTCAGATAGAAGTTACAATTTCATCTCCCTGACCTGCTGGCTCTGCGACCTTTACAAATTTACTTAACTACGCTGAACTTTTCTTCATCTATAAAATACCCTTTTTTTCTAGTCATGATCCCTGTGGCCCTTGTGGACCCATGCACAGTTGCTCAGGAAAAGTGAAATTGTTGTGAGGATATGATGGGATTTTTCCAGGGTTTCCTCCTGGGAACTGGCACTTTGAAGCCGGTGGGACTTAGCCTGCTTTTCTGTCTTGAAAAGGCTGTATGTCAAGGCATCACTATCCATCTTTTTCTAGCTGTTGCTTTTTCATCTCCTTCTTGTTTGGGCCTATACTTTAACTTGAAGTGTGCAATGTTGGTCCCAGCCCTGCCTTTCTGTACATCGCAGCAACTTCTTTCTCTAATTTCAAATTTCCGAGAATTAGTGCACTATGTCTTTTGCAGCCAGGATACCTATGGCGTAGGTTGCAGTCCAGCATATGATTCAGTCAGGGGTGTATTCTTGTGCTCTGATCAGCTGAGCTAGGAACAGAATCTCAAGTATAGACTGTGGTTTGAGATGCACCAGATAAGCTCTTAGTCACAAAATGTCCATTTAAATACAAACATTCAGCCATCATATACTGTATTTCAATTATTTTTCAAGTATAGGTAACATTAAAATTAATTGCTAAATTATTTTCTTTAACAGTGAAGAAATTGCCTTTTACAATGGGAATAAAAGAGAAAAACAGACAGTCCACTCAGTCTTCCGAAAACTGGTAAGGAAACACACTTGAAGTTCATGTGTTTATGGAAATGGTTTTTTTGTGTGTGTTTTTTTTGCCTATGACCGATACACCCCCCCCACACACACACGTATGTATACGTATCTTAAAGATATTTTGAAAAATAGCTATAAAGGATTTTATACTGCATTTTTAATAAAAAATGCAAGATTAAAAACTATCATATCGATATTTTGAAAAATAGCTATAAAGGATTTTATACTGCATTTTTTTTTTTTTTTTTTTTTGAGACGGAGTCTGGCTCTGTCACTCCAGGCTGGAGAGTGCAGTGGCCGGATCTCACCGCAGCTCCGCCTCCCGGGTTTACGCTTTCTGCCTCAGCCCGAGTAGCTGGGACTACAGGCGCCCGCCACCACGCCTGGCTAGTTTTTTGTATTTTTTAGTAGAGACGGGGTTTCACCGTGTTAGCCAGGATGGTCCCGATCTTCCTGACCCAGTGATCCGCCCGTCTCGGCCTCCCAAAGTGCTGGGATTACAGGCTTGAGCCACCGCGCCCGGCCTATACTTTATACTGCATTTTTAATAAAAAATGCAAGATTAAAAACTATCATATCAGTATATTCAAGTGCCCATTTATAAAATTGCATAGATTTATTAAAATAATATTAAGTGTATTTTTACAGAGGTTGCTTAGGAGCCTTATTTAGTGATACATTTAGTGATTCCCACAGAAAGAATTTGTTCCTGTAGCATTCATGAAAATACAATGAAGATTATTATGTAAAGCAGGGATCAGCAAACTTTTTCCGTAAAGGGCGAGATAGTATGTGTATATTTTAGGCTTTTCATACCACACAGTCTGTTGCAATTATTCAGCTCCACTACTCAAGAGTAGCTATATATAATACATAAATGAGTGAGTGTGGCTATGTTCTAATAAAACTTTACTTACAAAAACAAGTAGCAGGCTAGAGTTGGACTATGGGTTGGAGTTTGCTGGCTTTTTGTTTTAAAGAATTAAAGCATTGTTTCTTGTGAAAGCTGTACTTCATTTTTTGATTGCCACTTGGAAAATTTGAATTCAAGTACTTTTATTCCATTATTTATTCAAAAGATATTGAATGCCATCTGGTTGCCTGTGCTTACTCCAGGTGCTAAGGATGATGGTGGTGGACATGATGGATAAAATCTTGCCTTTAAGGAGCTTACATTCTAGTGGAAGTCTGAAGTTTGTGAAATTAAGTGTATGTTTTAGATGAGTTAAAGAGGTTAAATAAATTGTCATTTTGAATTATTTCAGAAATTGAATTTATGCCTCATCAGTATTTAACATGGCAGAACTTTTAGAGTGCTCACTGGTAGAATACATTTAAGGTAATTTTTCAGCGGCCTGCAGTTCACCAGCTTGCTCTCCACGTGGCTTGCTTATTCTCATCCTTTAGATTTTCAGCCCAAATGTTAACACCTTATTGAAGCTTTGTCTTCTCTGATCAGCCTATTTGAAATAACCTCCAAAAGTTCCTTCCTGTTTTAATCATCATCTTTCCTTAAAAAAAAAAAAATATATATATATATATATAAAAAACCCTCTGCATCTGTGGGTTCCAAATCCATGGATTCAACCACGCGCAGATTGAAAATATTCAGAAAAAGAAATTGTGTCTGTACTTATATACACATATTTTTTCTTGTCATTATTCTCTGAACAATACAGGCATTAGTATAACAGCTGTTTACATTGTATTAAGTATTGTAAGTAATTTAGAGATGGCTTAAAGTGTTTGGGATGAGCCAGCCATGGTGGCTCACTCCTGTAGTCCCAGCCCTTTGGGAAGCTGAGGCAGGCAGATCACTCGAGGTCAGGTGTTCGAGACCAGCCTAACCAACATGACAAAACCCCATCTCTACTAAAAATACAAAAATTAGCCAGGTGTTGTGGCAGGCGCCTGTAATCCCAGCTACTCGGGAGGCTGAGGCAGGAGAATCACTTGAACCCAGGAGGCGAAGGGTGCAGTGAGCCGAGATGGCACCACTGCACTCCAGCCTTGGCGACAGAGTGAAACTCTGTCTCAAAAAATAAATAAGTAAAGTGTATGGGATGTCATGCTCAGGTATATGCAAACACTATATGCCATTTTTCCTTAGGGACTTGAGCATCCATGGATTTTGGCATCCAGAAAGGTCCTGGAACCAATCCCCTTTGGATACCGAGGGATGACTGTATTACAGTCTCTAATTGTCTTGTTTACTAGCTATCCTCTTTCATTAGAATGTAAACTCCATGAATTCAGGGACATTCTATGTTCTATTTATTGTATCTCCAGCTTGAGCACAGTGTCTGACACGTGGTAGCCATTGAATAAATGTTCCAGACATTGTCTAGTTGCAGAAGATACCAAGTTGTTAACAAGCTACCCTTTACTCAGGAAGCCACATTTTAGTGGAGGAGATGGTAAATAAACAACTAGATGTTCTGTATAATTTCAGGTAGTAATGAATTCTGTGGCCAAAAATGAAGCAGGATAAAGGTATAGATATGAAGGGGGCTATTGCTCAGCTACTTTAGCTGGAATGGCCAAGGTCTTTCTTGAGGAGGTGACATTTAGTCAGAAATCCACATGAAAGTGAAGGAGTCACAAAATGTAAATATCTTAGAAGAATGTATTCTTGGCAGTGGGAAGAGCAAGAAGAAAGCCTTAAAAAGGTACATGTTTGAGAAACCATTATTTCTAGAGCTTGGTGAGGAGGAGCAAAGTAGAAGCATATGACCTTAAAAATAGAACTCAGTGCCATATCATGCAGGACCTTGAGTAATCTGGTAGATGGACAGTTTGAGAATGCTACAACTCCAGATTAAAAAGCAGTTTTAGACTTGTAGTTTTGAGGCAATGCATGCTTATGTTAAAGCTAAAACTGAGGCTATGTGGCACTGATTTACATTAACACTCAGTTCAGACTGGGTGTAATACAATTCTTAGATAAAGCACAGACCATGTGTCTCCACTGAAAGCAAAGCATTGAGTGCCAATCTGGACAGCTAGTGTTTCACTCAAACTAGTTAATATCTCTCTGTTCTTTTTGCTTTCGTCCTTGTTCTCTTTTGGGATGTATGTATCTAAAAGCATGGTGACTACAATAGCATTGTTCTTTTTCATGCAAGAGAAACAGCGTTGTTAAAATTGTTTATGTAATTTCCATGCTGCTTGCATAAAAATGGTTTCATGAAGTGTTTGTTTGGCACCCACACTGTGATGAGCATTGTGCTCGGTGGTGTGATGTACAATATAAACAGAAATCATGGGCATTCAGTAAATATTTGTTGAATAAATGAACAATGCAGTTTGTTTTATCCTCATAGTGATTCAATTTTTTATACATAGAAAAAAATATGTTTTTTTGTTTTTGTTTTCTGCCAGGTGGAGCACCTACATAATTTCATTTTGTTTCGTTTTTCAATGGGCTTCATTGATAACATTATTGCCAAATGTAAGTATATTTTGAAAGAGATGAGATTTGTGGAAAAGGTGAAATACTGTTACTGTTTTAAATCTTACCTGTTTGGTTTCAGACCTTGCCACTGTGGTTGGTTACTTAGTTGTCAGTCGCCCTTTCTTAGATTTGTCTCATCCTCGACATCTCAAGAGTACACATTCGGAACTTCTAGAGGTAAAGTGATGATAACACAATGAAACTGTAACAGTAAAAATAAAGCCAAATTTTTAGTCCTAGAACTATAAGTAAAAGCTAATATTTATTTCTATTTAAGGATTACTACCAAAGTGGAAGAATGCTTTTGCGAATGTCTCAAGCTCTGGGTCGAATTGTTTTGGCTGGGCGTGAAATGACTAGATTGGCTGGGTAAGTAAGATTAGTAATAATGAGCAGTTGCAGAAAATAATTTTTAAAAATATGCTATCCTGAATGATTGTACTAGCTGAGGTTAAGGTAAGGGAGCAACATTTCCTACCCAAGAAGGTGGTTTTGATAGAAAATTAAGGAAAATTTTTCTGATGGTGAACTTTTCATGTTTCTTTAAGACAACTGGTTTGCACATTACAGTAGATTAGAGGCTGTCAAGTTGTTTGCTCCATGGACACTGGTATTTGCTAAGTTGGGAAATATTGAATCATGGCAGTCTTAATTCGCAGAAAACTAAGTTAATGAGTAGAATTTTCTCATTTAAATTTTCTTGTCCTCTACTATACCATTTTTTCATAGATCTTTGATACCGGCAACCTAGCAAAAACCGATGAATAGAAATGAAGTTGACTTTAATGGGAAAAAAAATGAGAAGTTAACTTGTATCTGTAGGTGTGCTTGTGAATGTAGTCATATTGTCTGGTAGTAAAATTATCTTTAGACCATAAAATGTAAAATATTAACATTTCAGTATTTCAATCTCCAATATAAGGGGCATGGTATGGTATAAAAAACACCATAAATTTTAGGTCACCTGAAGAAGTTTGATGACTTAATAGCTTTCCTAGGCCTGTGATCCATCTTCGTATTTCTCTTTTTCCTCCTTCTTAGCTCCTGTGGCAGTTAAGGTCTTCATGGCAATATAGAAGTTGTTAACTACTATGAGTAGAGTCTCTTTCATGAGAATACTAACATTCTTCCTACTTGTTAGGAAGTTAACTTTTCTTATGGCTTGACAGTTCATGGTATATAAGGTTCTTTTCTGTTTCTTAAGGATGTTTCCTTTCTCTCTCTCTCTCTCTTTCTCTTTCTCTTTCTCTTTCTCTTTCTCTTTCTCTTTCTCTTTCTCTGTAGGTGTGTATGTCTTTCTCTTCCCTCCCTCCCTCCCTCTCCCTGCCTTCCTTTCTTTCTCTTTTCTCCACTTTGTTGAGGTATGATTGACATATAAGAAACTGTTCCTATTTAATGTATACAATTTGATGAACATGGGGATAAGTTATACACCTGTGAAACCATCAAGACCATAAACATTCATCACCTCCCAAAGTTTGCTTTAGGAGGTTTCTGCTTGTTATTCAGAGAAAAATCCTGTTTTCTTCTTCGATGCAGAATACTATCTCTTTGGCGATCATGGTCATTTTTGTTATCTCCAACCTCTCGTTGTTAGTTTTGATTTTTCTCTACTGCCACAGTGATTTCTATCTAATAATAAGAACTCTTCATCTTTCCCCTCTTGAGAGTAAGAAAGAGGGAATCTTTCAGATTCTTCCATTTGCAGGAAGGCAGCATGCATTCAGCATACATTTAATGAATGCCTTCCTTGGATAGAAAGACCAACTTTATACATGGCTTTATAGGCCGCTTCAACAAGAGCTCAGAGTCCATACTTCCTGCGTCTAAGGAATATACTAGTGTAGTGGTCCTTTTGTAGTATACAAGAGAAACCTCCTGAAAATTCTCAGCAAATAACTGTCTTGACTTGGCTATTAATGAAGTATCTGTTGAGTTGGGGATCCTATGGAAACCTCTTTCTTCATCCCTGTATTCCTGCTTTCCTACTGAAACATAATAAAGCATGCATGCTATCATTAATACTTTATGTTGATGAGACTGTTAGGTTACTTCATTTATACTAGATTATAAGTTTAGGAACTTAAGTTTGTGTAAAATAAAAGATGTGACAGTAGTCTGGAGTTTTGATTATGGTTTCCTTTTCTAAAATTTTAGTTTTACTGCTCGGATTACAGAATTAATGCAAGTACTGAAGGATTTAAATCATGGCAAATATGAGCGCACAATGGTCTCACAACAGGAAAAGGGTAAATATGAGTGTCACAGTTTAAGGTCATAATTTTAAGTGTTTGCTGACATAATATGATGCTTTAATACCTATTTTCCATTTAAGGTATTGAAGGAGTACAAGTCATTCCCTTGATACCTGGTGCTGGAGAAATCATTATTGCAGATAACATTATAAAGTACGTACAGAAAAAGGTTCTTTAGCACCATAAATGTTTGTTAAACTTCATAGTAGTCTTTCTTTTTCAGCTTACAATTGCTTAGTGTTTAAAATTATTTCTGCTTTTTTGAAAAACAGCTTTGAGGTATCATTGACGTAAAAATTGTGTATATTAATATTTAAAGTATACAACTTGATGCTTTGATATCTGTATACGTTGTGAAATGATTACATTTAGGCTAATTAATTTACCTGCCACCTCTACATAGTTACCATTTTTGTGTGTGTTTGGTGAGAATTTAATTTAGATGTGTCTTAGCAAATTTCAGGTATACAATGTAGTATTTTCTACTATTGTCCCTGTACAGTGTGTCTACAGGATTTATTCATCTGGCATCACTGAAATGTTGTGCCGTTTGACCGATATTAACCCCATTTCCTCTCTCCCTACCCCCCGGCAACCACCATCCTACTCTCTACTTCTATGAGTTTGAATATTTTAAATTCCACATACAAGTAAGATCATATAGTGTTTCTCTTTTTGTGTCTTGCTTATTTTGCTTAACGTAATGTCCTCCAGATCCATCTATGTTGAAAATGGCCCGGTTTCCTTCTTTTTTAAAGGTGGCGTAATATTCTATTGTATGTATTTTGTGTGTGTGTGAATATATACACACTATATACACTATATTTTCTTTATCCTCTCATCAGCTGAAGGACATTTAGGTAGTTTTCATATACGGACTATCGTGAGTAATGCTGGAGTGGACATGGGAGGAAGATTCTTTTTGAGATACTGATTTTATTTCCTTTGCAAATGTACCCAGAAGTGGGATTGCTAGGTCATACAGCAGTCCTACTTTTAATTTTTTGAGGAACATCCATACTGTTTTCCATAATAACTGTACTATTTGTAGTCCCACCAACAACATACAAGGTTTCCCTTCTGCATATCTTTGCCAACACTTACCATTTGTCTGTTTGATAATAGTCATCCTAACAGGTGAGAGGTGACATCTCATTGTGGTTTTGATTTGCATTTTCCTGATGACTAGAGATGTTGAGCACCTTTTCGTATGCCTGTTGGCCATCTAAATTTTTTCTTTTAAGAAGTGTTTAAGCCCTTTGCCCATTTTTTAATCAGATTATTTGTATTTTTGGTATTGAGTTGTATTAGTTCCTTATATACTTTAAAGTAGTTCTCTTTTTTTGAATTTCCTCTATAGGTTTGATCATGTTCCTTTAGCAACGCCAAATGGAGATGTTTTGATCCGTGACCTTAATTTTGAAGTAAGTTTTTTTTTTTTTTTTTGAGACGGAGAAGCTTAAATCATCTTTAAAATGTGAACTGAAAAAAGGTTACCTGAATATTTAAATTAACTTTAAGGCTCGACTTAGTCTCTGAATCCACAGAATTGCTTTAAAAAGTAAGTCTTTGAAACACTTAGAAATCTATTTTTCTTAATTGACAGGACTTCAAAATTTCAAATACTACTACCAAAAAACTTTTTGTAAATGAAGTTTATGTCAAGAAAGCCATAGAAAATATAGTAAATTGGAGTCTCCAGTGTAAAATGAATATTTAAACACAAATATAATTTTAGTCTCTTTACAATAAAAAGAAACTTATGATGTGGTTGGTATTATTGTGACTGTACAGGATGATTTGTACCTATAAAAACAAAATACGGACTGGTTTATTACTGATGAAAACAGGGGAAGAGTCGCACAGTAGCGCTACAAATAGACACTCACCTAAAACAAGTAAAATCCCATGCCAAGTAAATACTGATGTTGATTCAATCTGCTGTGCTAATGAAATGGGATATGGCAGACCAAACTAAAAAGAAAAGACAAAAGTTGAATGTTTTTGTATGATTTTGTAAGACTGGCAGATTTAAGGGTTACTATTTAGGTTTTCTCTATGTTGTGGCTTTATGAATGGTTCAGATCCAGAAATCTTCATAATTAGTAACAAATTCCTATCACATAGGCTATCTTCCCCATTCTAGACAACATTTCTCTAGAACAACACTTTCCCGTAGAACTTTCTGCGATGATGGAAATGCTCTATACTTTCACTATCCAGTAAAATAGCCATGTGTAGATACTGAGCATGTGAAATGTTACTAGTACAGCTGCAAAACTGAATTTAAATTTTAATTTAATTAATATGATTTAAAATTAAATAGCCACATGTGAGTAGTGGCTATGGTATTGGACAGCACAGCTCTGGAATTCCTCTCCACATGGTTATGTGCATGGCCATCTGTAGTTTGTTTTATGTGGGGATTTTTTTTCCTACTGCTGTCTTTGAAGGAATATTGTCTGATAGTTTATAAAATAAAGAGTATGATTATTGGACTTGTTTTTAATTTGTTACAGTCTTAAGTAAGGTTCAGTTTTCTGCTCTTAGTAATTTGTATTAAGCACATGTCTACTTTCTTTTCAATGAATTATAAAAATGAAAATTGTTAGTTATGCAAAGTACTTTGAACTTATTCAACAATGAGTAGTCTATTATTATCATATTTATTCCAAAGCCAGGAAATACAAGATGAAGTACAGAAAATGTAAATGTAGTCGATAAATATCGACTGGCTCCACATATCGCAGAAGTGTTTTCTTACGTAGCTCCGGGTACTTCAGTCACTTGAATGTTCCTTTGGCAAAGTAGGTAGCCAGGCTTCATTTCCAGTAGCCCCTTTATTGCCACTGTCCAAGGATAAAAAGGACGTGAGACTTCGTTGAAGGATGCCTCTTGGCCCTTTCTCCTACTTACCCTCACTTCTGTCTATGCAGAAATAAAATATACCAACAATATAGGGACACACATGACTGAAGCACAATGAGAAAGGGCATTGAGATACACAGAATAGATGGATCATGATTATGGTCCATAGTAACCTTTTGTCATGATGTTACCACACTAAAGCTGTCACTTTCTTTTTTAGTTCAAAGTCTTTTCTTTTAAAACCCTTATGTTTGGCTTTAATAGACTTCTGTCATTTCTATAATTTCATTTTTATAGTCTTAAAAATGTCCTTAATTTTTTCTGTTTTTTGGATTTCATTTGGAAAGTCTCAAGTCCTCACTTATGTCCTTACTTGTTGGAGTGTTTTACTTCATAACCATGCTCCATACTTCCTGGTGTCTATCCTGTGATTCTTGTTTTCTCCTCCCTTGGCAACTGTTTCTCTGACTCCTGTCTTTTTGGTTCACTGTTACGAATTCTTACCTCTTTCTGACTTAAAGTATTCTAAAGTAGACTTGGGTTTCTCACATTCATTATGTCTTTTTATTGTTTTTCTTAGCATAGCCTTTCTATAGTCAACAAATATTCTTCAGTTCTTTGCAACCTCTAATTATTTTCTACTCGTCTGGCTTACTTGAAAATAAAGATTACTTTCCCTCTTGGAAAGAGGCATAATAAAACTGAGACTTGGCCTCTCAAATAAATGTTTCCTACTTTATGATTCATTTGCCTTTTGGGTTACATTTGTAACCAAATAATAAACACTTCTTTGGAATAAGAGATTTTATACCATTTTCCATTAGAAATTCCCCAATACAGCCATATTTATCTGTCTAGATATTATTCTGGGAGGTATGTAGACTGGAGAGAACCTAAGAGGTAACAGCTTGCAGGTTACCATGTGGGGATTAAAATAGTACTTTGTCTGAGATGGGCGGATTGCTTGAACGCAGGAGTTTGAGACCAGCCTGGGCAACGTGGCAAAACCCCGTCTCTGAAAAATGCAAAAAAAATAGCCAGGTGTGGTGGTGCACACCTTTGGTCCTCGTTAACGCAGGCGACTGAGGTGGGAGGATCGCTTGTGCCAGGGAGGCAGAGGTTGCACAGTGAGCAGAGATCGCACCACTGTACTCCAGTCGGAGCTACAGACTGAGACCCTGTCTCCAAAAAAGAAGCACTTTGTAACTTATTGAGATTTTTACCTTTTCAGTAAGGCGTACTTACAGTGTTTAAATAAACTAATCAGTCTTCATAAACACCATATTTTTATATAAGTTTTCTTTTACTTAAATTTATGTGTAGAATTTTTGATTTGTTATGATAAATTTATAGAAGGTAGGATTTATCAAGGAGTATTATTTGGGGATATATTTTTATTGGTAAAAATATGGTGGTTCAAAGCATTGGTTGATCCAGTAAAGCATTCTGAGAGTCTCAATAATATAATGCTGTCAAGAATGTAATTTTCAGTAAATGTTACTGTTGGCTTTTAGTCTTAATTTAACCCCACAAAAAATATGTACTTAATAAACTTGTAATACAGACAAATTATCCCTGGCTTATCATGGCTGACATCATAATTGGAAGTTTTATTCAACACCGCCAAAAGCCATGGAATAAAGAAAAGTGAATGCTGAGTAGGCTAGCCAGGCTTGATTTTGAGCATAAAAGAATAACTCAGGATTTCAGTAAGTCTGGTTATTATTTATATACATCATTACAAATCTGCTTTTGGGGTTTCTTGGCATTTTGCAACAAATAATGTGGAAGGGTATTATTGGAGGTGGGAATATTGATACCATTGTAAACCACAAAGAGCAGTTGGGAGGGGAGAATGTATATATGGCTAACATTACTGAAATAAAGCGTAGTAGCAGGGAACCATTTAATTACAGCTCACTGAACTTTAGGACCTTCTAAGGGCATCGCTGTAACAGTAAGTATGATTATTTTATATGATAACCTTGCTTTATGAGGAACATTCAGTATATTCAATTTTATATGATAAGGAAATTATGTTATTTAAAAAGAAGTCTGTCAAAATGATTCTTTAATTATCAGAAAAAATGTTTATTCATTTGGAAAAGTCGCTTAGAACAACTCTTTAACAATGATGTGTGTAAATTGTTATTTTCTTTTAGATCAACTGTGTGCCAGGCTGCTTCATTCTTTTTTAAGAAGTTTTTAAAATGTAAAAATAAACATAAAATTTGGCTTTTTAGCCGTTTCTACGTGTGTGATTCAGTGGCAGTAAGTTCATTTACAGTGTTATGTAGCCACCACCACTATCCATTTCCAGAACTTTTCCATCATCCCAAATAGAAACTCTGTACTCATTAAACAATAACTCTCCTTCCTTCCTCTCCCTAACCCCTGGTAACCTCTCATTCTTTCTGTCTCTATGAATTTGACTGCTCTAGGAATCACATATAAGTGAAGTCATACAGCATTTGTCCTTTTGTGGCTGGTTTATTTCATTTAGCGTAATGTTCTCAAAGTTCATCTACATTGTAGCATGTGTCAGAGTTTCATTCATTTTAAAGGTTGAATGCCATTTCATTGTGTGTGTGTGTGGCGGGGGGCAGGGGCACATTTTGTGTATCCATCCATCCCCTTGGGTTGCTTCCTTGCTTCCACCTTTTGGCTGTTGTGAACAATGCTGATGGCTCTGTGTTTTGTCACAGTAAAAGCCAATGTCCTTTCAATGCCTGCCACTACCCTACTCCTACCTGATACCTCTCCGATCTCATTTCCTACTATTATTCTTTCCTATTCGTTCCTCAGTAAAATCAGTCTTGTTTCTGCTTTGTTTTTTCTTTTTTTTTTTTTTTTTTTGAATAGGATAGCTACGTTCCTGCTTCAGTGCCTTGTACCAGCATTTTTTTTGTTTTGTCTTGTTTTGAGATGGAGCCTTGCTCTGTCACCCAGGCTGGAGCACAGTGGCGTGATCTTGGCTCACTGCAACCTCTGCCTCCCAGGTTCAAGCAGTTCTCATGCCTCAGCCTCCTTAGTAGCTGGGATTACAGGCACGTGCCACTGCATCCGGTTAATTTTTGTATTTTTAGTAGAGACAGGGTTTTACCATGTTGGCCAGGCTGTACTAGCTTTTTATGGGTAAAGGTGGGGGCTAGAACAGTCTTCTTTTAGTTAAATCCTAATTCACCCCTTCTTTAAAAGTTTTACTCAGTTGTCATTTTCAATAAAGTCTACTCTGACCACCTTAAAAATGCAACTTCCCTCACCTGCTTCCAAGTTCCCTTTATCTGTTTTTTCCTCCAAACTACTTATTTTTTCATACACTATTTAACTTGTATATTATGTGTATTCTTTATTGTATGTCTCTTGCCGCTAGAATGTAAACCAGTAAAGGCAGAGGTTTTTGGTTTTTTGTTTTTGTTTTTTGTCTCTTTTGGTCACGAATGTGGCCTACTTGCCTAGAATGGAGCCTGACGGAGAGCATTCAATAAATATTCATTGAATTAAATAATAGGAACAGAAGGCTCACCAATTTAACAGATTTGTTAAAGGCAGGTTACCAGCTAGAGTAACTCATATATCTCTCCGATATTTTCTTTCCTATTGTGTTGCATTGGTGTTTAATGTTGTAAGCTAGAATTATAGCTAAGATTTTCTGATTCTTTACAGAGTTGATCACATACTTATAAGATCATAAGCCTAGAACTTAACCACTCTACATTTTCTCATTTATGTTGTTGCAGAATAATTTAGTGCCACTTGTAAATATTTATAGTGTACATATATTTTGATAAAACAGTTATAATTTCTAAGAATGGAATCTACAGAAACATTACTTACTATTGCATAAGTTTACTTGCTGACTTGTACGCTCATTGCAGTATTATCTAGAGGAGCAAAACAAAATGCAGACCTAAATATTTAACCAAAGGGGAGTGTTTAAATAAGTTATAGTATATCCTTACTGTGGAAGATGTTGTGGGAAGTCAGGGACCTTGAACGGAGGGATCGGCTGAAGCCATGGCAGAAGAACATAAATTGTGAAGATTTCATGGACATTTATTAGTCCCCCAAATTAATACTTTTATAATTTCTTAATGCCTGTCTTTACTGCAGTCTCTGAACATAAATTGTGAAGATTTCATGGACATTTATCACTTCCCCAATCAATACTCGTGTGATTTCCTATGCCTGTCTTTAATCTCAACCCCATCATCTTTGTAAACTGAGAATATATGTCGCCGCAGGACCCTGTGATGATTGCGTTAACTGCACAAATTGTTTAAACAATATGAAATCTGGGCACCTTGAAAAAAGAACGGGATAACCGTGATGTTCAGGGAACAAGGGAGATAACCATTAGGTCAGGCTGCCTGAGTGCCGGGCGGAACAGAGCCATATTTCTCTTCTTTCAAAAGCGAGTAGGAGAAATGTCGCTGGATTCTTTTTCTCAGCAAGGAACAGCCCTGAGAAAGAGAATGCATTCCTAGGGGGAGGTCTCTGAAATGGCTGCTCCTTATGGTTGTAGATAAGGGATGAAATAAGCCCTGGTCTCCCGTAGTGCTCCCAGGCTTATTAGGATGAGGAAATTCCCGCCTAATATATTTTGGTCAGACCGGTTGTCTGCTCTCAAACCCTGTCTCCTGATAAGATGTTATCAGTGACAATTCGTGCTGAAACTTCATTAGCAATTTTAATTTTGCCCAACTCCTGTGATCTCGCCCTGCCTCCATTTGCCTTGTGATACTTTATTACCTTGTGAAGCATGTGATCTCTGTGAGCCACACCCTAGTCATACACTCCCTCCCCTTTTGAAAATTACTAATAAAAACTTGCTGGTTTTGCGGCTTGGGGGGCATCATGGAACCTGCCGACATGTGATGTCTCCCCCAGATACCCAGCTTTAAAATTTCTCTCTTTTGTACTCTTTCCCTTTATTTCTCAGACCGGCCAACACTTAGGGAAATAGAAAAGAACCTACGTGAAATAACATTGAATTATCAGGGGCGGGTTCCCCTGATAGGAAGATGCTTGAGGCATTAAAGGAAAGGAGTAGGGGAATCTGAATATACTGACCTGGAAGAATGTCTGTGATATTTTGTTAAATAGTAAAAGCAAGTTGTAGAACAGTCCATAGAGTATGTTTTCATTTTTTTAAGAGAGACTGTATATACACATGTATTTATTGTTTTCAAGAATTCTCAGTTTTTTAAACTTTAGTTCTTCTATCTTAAGTTGATGATATCAGTCAATTTATTTATTTATTTATACATACATGTATATAGATATGTGGTCTTGTTCTGTCAGCCTAGGTGACATCATAGCTCACTGCATCCTTGAACTGCTGGACTCAAGCAATCTCCCACCTCAGCCTCCCGAGTAGCTGGGACTACAGGTGTGCACCACCACACCTGCCAAATTTTTTATTTTTATTTTTTGTGGAGATGAGGGTCTCACTTTATCTACCAGGTTAGTCTCAAACTCCCAGTTTCAAGCGATCCTCCTGTGAGCCACCGTACCCAGCAATAATAATTTTTTAAGGGAAAAAAAAAGTAATGGTAAAAATTGGAAGTAAACAAAGTAAAAGGTCCCTTTACAATACCTCTTTACTGCTCTACCTAATGCTACATTTACAGACAAATAGAAGGCTTATAATTAGCCAGGAGCTATTAATACTTGAGTCTAAGGAAATGTTCATTGAGTATATGTTAATTTGATTCAATTGCTTCACAGACTGATTTTTTTTTTTTTTTCAGGTTCAATCTGGGGCTAATGTTCTAATTTGTGGTCCTAATGGCTGCGGAAAGAGTTCTCTTTTCCGTGTTCTTGGTGAAGTAAGTACAAGTTGGCCTCAAAATTTTGCAGTCTTATTTTGCCATACTGTCTACCACTTTGTAAATTTTACAATTGTTCTTCTCCCTTCTCTCTTTTTTTAATAGTTATGGCCTCTTTTTGGAGGACGTCTAACTAAACCCGAGAGAGGAAAGTTATTTTATGTTCCTCAAGTAAGACCTAGCTTGAGTTATCTTTGATTTAAAGATCCTTTTGTTTATTTTTTAATGTTTCTTCTAATGACTTTTGCTCTACTACTGTCAGAGACCTTACATGACCCTTGGAACACTTCGAGACCAAGTGATATATCCAGATGGACGAGAAGATCAGAAAAGGAAGGGAATATCTGACTTAGTAAGGAAACGTTTATATCCTAGATCCACTGAAAATACTCCATTTCAGATTATTTTAATCAATTAAGTATTTTAAATGCCAGGTAGTGTATCTTAATCTGTAATGCCTTCCAAAGCCATTAATTATGATTTTCTAAGCTGAGGTAAGATGATAATCCCTTGGCTTAAAAAGAGGTTAATCTTAACCTTTGCACTATTGTTTGTTTTCTCATTGCCATCATCCTTTTATTATGTACAATAGTGTTATTCTCTTTAAGCTACTAGACATATTTTGCCAAGTTTAGTATAGATAGGAGTTGAAAGATTCAGGGCTACCTTGTGCCACATTCTTTTTTGAAATGTATCTTTTAAGTGGTACAGACAATAGAATTATAGTGATTCCAGTTTAAAAAATAAACCAAGATTAAGAATGTTGGCTAATATTAAGTTTGATTTCCCTTTAATCATTTTGCTGAAAGGTACTGAAGGAATACTTAGACAACGTCCAGTTGGGTCATATCCTTGAACGTGAAGGAGGCTGGGACAGCGTTCAGGATTGGATGGATGTACTCAGTGGTGGAGAAAAGCAAAGAATGGCAGTAAGTATACTCTGAAGAAATTGCACAAGAATGCAACTGGTTCCAGCATTTTGATTAATCAGGATACAAAGTTTCATCTTATATTTTTTTATTCAGCAGCTGTTTCAGTATGGATTAGTTTAAATTATCATAAAAGTGCTTGAAAATCTTTAACTTGCATGTAAATTTGGAATTCTGAAAAGTTCATAAATATCCTGCCAGTACCTATGAAAGGAAAAGCTGCAGATCCAACTATATACCAGTAATCCATTTTTCTAAAAGTTCAGAGAAACTCTGTAACTCATTAGTCCTGGGATATAAGGTAATCCTGGCTGGGTTATGAAATTTCTTCTCATGTCTCTTCCTTATAGACATCTCTTTTGTCTCACTCAGACTTTTCTTTCTGAAATAGCTGAAGGTATTAGAAATGATCCATTCAGATTTTATCTTTATTCTGTTCTTGCCCTTTTCCTCTACTATATGTATGTTTTTGTTTCAAGGTTTGGTATCCACTACTTAAAGTTATTTAAAATTTTTAAGTTTTCCTAATATAAACAAGCATTTGAAAGAAACTACTTTAATTGTTATGATGACTAAACTTGTCCCAAACCAAAAATATGCACTAAACACTATACAGAAGAATGAGACCAGCGTGGGCAACACAGCAAGATCCTTTCTCTACAAAAAAATTTTAAAATTATCTAGGTGTAGTGGCACATGCCTATAGTCCTACCTACTGGGATGTGGAAAGATTGCTGGAGCCCAGGAGTTTGAGGCTGCAATGGGCTGTGATCACACACCATGGCACTCCAGGCTGGGCAATAGAGGGAGATCCTCTCTCTAAAAATAAATAAATAAATAAAAATTTAAAAAGCGGTAGTTTGGGTACCTTGTCAAGAGGGGCAACTTCATGAAGAGTCATTTTTTTAACTATATATTCCATAGTTTGAATAGATCCAAGCAAGAGATTCTCCTCTCCCACTGCAGAGTATTAGCCTCGTGGAGATTAGAGAAAACTATAGCTAAAGAAAGAAAGCGAAAGAAATTGGCTTATGGCAGAATTTCTGACCCATTATATTCAGGTTATATTCCACCTTTTTGTTACCTCCAAGTCCCTGATTTTGCAGCTTATTTTTCCCAAAATCATACCCACTCTACAGGAGGTTAATATTAACTTAATAGTGTGACTTGCCTGGCTAGTGCTGTGATGTGAGATGAATCTAGTATGAAGAATGAATCATAAATGGGAGAGATAATAGCTATATTCAAAATGGAAATTAGGCTGAAGAAGTGAAAATTTGAAATGATTAGGCATTTCTAGAGTCAATTTAGAAGATGACTGTAGAAATAACTGCAAATAAAGAACTGCAAAACAACTTTAAATTTCTGTGCTATGTCTTCAGAGAAAATGGAAGCATATGGTTCAGAAATGAACACGATGGAAACTGAGAGAATGAATAATGAATGTACTTAAACCAAGGAACTCTGTGTGTGTGGTATAAAAATACAGAGGGGATAATTTTTATTTGAAGATTAGGAATTCAAAGGCGTTCCCAGAGCAGTGGGGGGCTGAGGCAGGAGAATCGCTTCAACCCAGGAGACATAGGTTGCAGTGAGCTGAGATCACGCCACTGCACTCTAGCCTAGGCAACACAGCAAGACTCCGTCTCAAAAGGAAAAAAAAAAAAACAGATGATCCAACACAAGTGTTTGGGAAATGGGGAAAGGTCACCTGTGACACTGCTGCATATATAATTGGAGCATGGCCAAGCCATTGGCAGGGTGTGTTCTGTGTAAGCCAATGTCTGAAGAATTGAATGTGATGTGTGAAAGAGAGCCTGTTTTGTTTCAGAGTGGGGAAAGGAGAAGGCTAACGCTACAAATACTAACATTGGTGAAATTAGGTCAAGAGTGTATATGTGTGTTCATTTTACTGTCCTTTCAGTTTTTTGGTAGGATTGAAAATTACCAAAGTAGAAAGTTGGGGGGGAAGTAGGTATTATAATTTTTAGGAAGAACAGACCTAAAAGGCCTAGCCACTTAGAACAGTGAGTCAGCCAGGGTTGCTCCAGCTAATGTCACAATTTGGGGTATCTTGTGTTTCTGACCAAAAGTTATCTTTTCCACTCCATTTTTTCTTGCTCTTCTATTTAGTAATGAATTTTCTTATTTTGAATTATGAAAAAGTATATATGATAGAAAAGTGGAATATTTATTTAAGTATAAATTGGGCCAAAGCCCTTTACCAGAGATACCACTGTTATAAAATTTTTAGTGTTTTTTTAAATCCATTTTTGTAAATCTTTGTTTTTTTAACCTTAAGCAACTATGCCCCTTTCTCAAATTCCCTGAGATGTCTAGAATATTGATCCTTCCCTTTTCTTACAACTGATCAGTCCTTTTCTGTTTCTGCCTCCTTTACTGTCCAGTACAGACTTAATAATCCAGGGCATGGCCTGTAGGAGATAAGATGTATTTCTTAAGGAATGAACAGTTCATCCCTTCCCCTTAACTTCCTTTCCCACTTTTTGTGTCATCCTATTACCTAAATCCCAACCCAATTATTTGCCTTGGCAGTTCTTTGCCTTGGCACTTCTCTAACCACTCTTCTGAGCACAGCTAAAAAACATCAGATGGGCTCACAGCATGGCTTAGCAATCATTTTACTTATTTTTATCCTCCTCTCATTTTTCATGACAATCATTTTAAAACTACCAATTTTGGGTTTTCTACCCCCATTACTTAACCCACCGCACTTGGTAGAATAACTTGCCTTCTACTTCTCAAAGAAGATAGGCTATTATTTCAGTTCAATGACAGCTAATTTTTATTGAGTGCTGAATAGATGACAGACAGTATGTCAGGCACCTTACACAGGTGATCTCATTTCATCCTCACAGCAGTCCTGTGAGGTAAGAACTGGGAATGCCACCCCTCCTGTTTTTTTTTTTTTTTTTTCCTTTGAGACAGAGTCTCATTCTGTCACCCAGGCTGGAGTACAGTGGCACGATCTCAGCTCACCATAACCTCTGCCTCCCAGGTTCAAGAGAATCTCCTGCCTCAGCCTCCCAAGTAGCTGGGATTACAGGCAAGCACCACCACACCTGGCTAGTTTTTGTATTTTTTTTTAGTAGAGACGGGGTTTCACCATGTTGTCCAGGCTGGTCTCAAGCTCCTGACTTCAAATGATCCGCCTGCCTCGACCTCCCAATGTGCTGGGATTTCACGTGTGAGCCACTGCGCCTGGCCGAAATGCCCCATTTTACAGAGGAAATTGAACTTCTGTGCAGTTCAGTAACTGGCCAAGCAAAGACAGCTAGTAAATGTTAAAGCTGATGGTGGGGGCTTTGTCAGGCTTAAGGCAAGCAGTATGGCTCCAGTGTGCATATGCTTATTCACTTTACAACAAACTTGTCCAACCTGCAGCTCACAGACGCATGCAGCCCAGGACAGCTTTGAATGCAAGTTAACACAAATTCATAAACTTTCTTAAAATATTATGAGAATTTTTTGTGGGCGTGAATTTTTTTTTTTTTTTTTTGAAACAGAGTCTTGCTCTGTTGCCCGGGCTGGAGTGCAGTGGCATGATCTTGGCTCACTGCAAGCTCCGCCTCCCGGGTTCACGCCATTCTCCTACCTCAGCCTCCCGTGTAGCTGGGACTACAGGCGCCCGCCACCACGCCTGGCTAAGTTTTTTGTATTTTTTGTATTTTTAGTAGAGACAGGGTTTCACTGTGTTAGCCAGGATGGTCTTGATCTCCTGACTTCATGAGCCACTGCACCCAGCCGTGATTTTTTTTTTAAGCTCATCAGATATCGTTAGTGTTAGTGTATTTTATGGGTGACCCAAGACAATTCTTCTAATGTGGCCCAGGGAAACCAAAAAATTGGACACTCCTGCTTTACAACTTTCTTATATTGTGGCATGAAGTAGTTGACAACATAGTGGGAGAGAGAAACACGTGATGAGAAAATGTCCAGGTCATGTACTAAGTGTGGGGAGGGAGGTATGCACAGAGTCCTTTGGGAGCAGAGAGGCGAGACATTGGTGGAATGCCCTCAGATAACCATTCCTCTTAATTAAGTGTGTGCTGCTCTGTCCTGACCTTCCTACTTCCACTGTCTGTGGAAGATATGTCATCCTTCTTGAGAAAGGCTAATATCTCCATCTATGTTTATAGACCCTCTGTCTTCTGACTTTATCACATCCTTTTCCTTCAGTTATGTCCCTTCCCTCAGCCCCCACCTACATTTAACCTCTTCTAGTCCTTCTCTTGCAGAAAGACATTTTTCAGGTCTCTCTGATCTAAAAAGCAAACTCAGCCTTAGCCAAAGCTTCCCTGTGGTCTGTACCTTTCATTTTCTGCACAGTTGAACTTCTTCATAGTCTATACTTGCTGCCTCCCCTTCCTCACCTCATGCAAATAGGTGGAAAGCTATTTTAGTCATTCATTTATTAGATATTTGAATGCTACCCATATATAAGTATTCAGTACGTAGTAGTGATTAAAACAGTCTGTGCTTTTCTGCATTTTTTTTTTTTTTCTGAGACAGAGTCTCACCCAGGCTGAGCGTCACCCAGGCTGGAGTGCAGTTGCACAATCTTGGCTCACTGCAACCTCCACCTCTCAAGTACAAGCGATTCTTGTTCCTCAGCCTTCCAGGTAGCTGGGACTACAGGCATGCGCCACCATGACTGGCTAATTTTTGTATTTTTAGTAGATACAAGGTTTCACCATGTTGGCCAGGCTAGTCTCGAATTCCTAGCCTCAAGTGATCTGCCTCCTCAGCCCCACAAAGTGCTGGGATTATAGGCATGAACCACCATGTTCTGCCCCAGCTTTTGTAAATCTTATAGCTTAGGCAGGTAGACAAAGACAAATATACAATTCACAATATATGAAGTGCTTCAGAGGTGTTACAGAAAGGACCCACTTGGATTGTGGTTAGGGATGAGGGTAGGATTGCCTGAGAATACGACATTATAAGCAGAAATTTGAAAGCTCTAAGGAGCAGAGTAAGGCGTTTAAGACATACGAAAAGAATGACGTGTGCTTAAGCCTCTAAGGCATAAGGCACCTTGTTCCTAGCAGTTGAGAGGAGGTGGTGTTGGCTAGAATGTTGAGGTTAGAGTAAATAGGAATAAGATTGTGCAGGTCTTGTAGACCATGGTAAGGAGTTTGAATTTTAAGTGAAATGGGAAGTTGTTGAAAGGTTTTAAGCCAGAGAGTGAAGTTCCCTGATTGACATGTGTGAAAGATGTTCTCTGGTTATATGGAGAGTGGACTGGAGAGGAGCAGCAGAAGTGGTAGGAGGTTACTTGTAGTCTATCCAGACAGGAGATGAGTGTGCTCTGGGCTAAGGGCATGTTTGTGGAGATGAGGAAAAGTGAGTGAACTTGAAACTTCACATTTCTTACTTGAATGGACTTTTTAGTTCATTCTAAAAATAGTGGTGGGAGAGTGAAAGGGAAGAGGAAAAGGGAAGGACCAGACCAGGCTTTCTACCTGGAACAACTGTTTGATAGTTTCTTTGCTGAAGTGTTCAAGATTAGGGAAGGGAATGGATTTTAGAGGGAAAATCTAGAAATTACATTTGAGTTTTAGACTTTTAACATTTGAGAGTCTTGTGAGATACCCAAGTGAAAACTCGAATAGGAATTTTTATTTCTAATTTTTTAAATGTGTTACATTTTAAATTTTTGTTTTTTGAGATAGCATCTTGCTGTTTCAGCCATGCTGGAGTGCAGTGGCCTGATCATAGCTCACTACAGCCTTGACCTACTGGGCTCAAGCCCTCCTGTCTTAGCCTCCTGAGTAGTTGGAACCACAGGTGAACACCATCATGCTTGGCTAATTTTTTTTTTTTTTCTTTAAAGTGGAGATGTGGTTTCCCTGTGTTGCCTGGGCTGGTTTCAAACTCCTGATCTCTAGCAATGCTCCTGCCACAGCCTCACAAAGTGCTGGGATTATAGGCGTGAGCCACTGTGCCTGGCCGAAATTTTTATATATCTGGAAATAGAGAAGTGTGAGTGAGAGATGCATATTGCAAGTTTATAGAATGTAAATACTATTTGAAATCAGAAGATTGGATGAGATCACTGAGAGATAGAATACAGGAAAAAGAGAAGGAGACCTAGAAATTAGCCCTAAGGAGCTCCTGTATTTAATGGTCAAGTGGAGGAGAAAGTGCTAGAAAAGAAACTGAGAAAGGATCCTCAGAAGTGGGAGGAAACTTAGGCGCATGGTTTCAGTATCACTTTCTCAAGAAGGATGGAGTGTCTTCTAAGGAGAATGTTGCAGAGAAGATAATTTAAGGATAGAAGAGTGCCCCACTGGTCTTAAACATGGAGATCTTTTCAGGGGGCAGATGACAAAAATTGGAATATCTGTTACACAAAAGATCAGAATAAACAGTCCCCAGAAAATACATGGGAACAAAAATGTGGGAAAATGTTCATCATTCCTGATAGTCAAAGAAATATATGCTATAATTTTGATGTTAATTTTCATTTATAAAATTAGCAAAGGCTTAAAAAAATGAGCACAACCAGAACTGACAATGGGGATATAAAACAGGTACAATAAAAAATTATTGGTGAGAATACTAATTGGTACCATTACTTAAGCAATAAAATATTTAAAATAGAGACCTTTTTGCATCAGAGTCATCTAGTCTGAATTCTGAGATTTGGTTAAAATATGTATTCTGTAATCTTATTTGTTTAGTGAGTTTAATACTAGTTTGAAACTCCTTCTCTCATCAGCCTTAAGCTTTGTGTTTTACTCTGAGCAATTAATATTTCCCATGAAGTACATTTTTCCCTTTGTTCAGGATGACAGTGAAAACAGTTATGTTTATATTGTTTCTATTTCTGGGAAGTAGATACTTTGAATTAGAATAATTTTTATACTTTTGATTTACAAGACTGCAAATGCATATTTAACTTAAGTTTGTTTCGGCTTATTAATTTTAGGTCTCTGCCTGTGTTTTACACAAAAAAATTTTTTTTATGCTTCAGATGGCAAGATTATTTTATCATAAACCCCAGTTTGCCATTTTGGACGAATGCACAAGTGCAGTTAGTGTCGACGTGGAAGGCTACATTTACAGTCATTGTCGAAAGGTAAGAGTGCAGGTGCTCAGTTTGAGGAGCCATGGCCTCTTTCCTAGTGTAAACTGTGTCCAAATCTGTCCAAAGAGAAGATTCCAAGTCAAAAAGTAACACAATTTCTACCAAAAGATTTCTTGTTTTAATAAAGATTTAAAACATATCAGTAAAAGAAAAATAATTATAAATACAATTCTGTATATAATCTCTCTATATAGAAATAGATTTAAATATGTTGTTTTATATCTCATTAATATTAAATATGTTGTTTTATATCTCATTAACATAGTAATGCTCATATATATTAGCATTAATATATTAATGCGATATAAAACAACATATTTAAATCTATTCCCCTTTACCTCATTACTTATACTCAGAGTTAATAAATTGCCCTTTTCTTAATTTGTTCCATTAACTTTATCTAAAATTAGGGGTTTTTTTAAATGAATAAGACTCAACAATAATTATTTGGCAATTTTTAATTTATTCGTTTTATTTTCTAGCCTGAGCACTATTTTACCAAAGCTGCTTTTAGTAGCCAAGTCTGAGGCTGTCTTTACTGGTTCCATTCTTTAAGTAATTATTCAGTAGTATCAGTTTTCTTTCTTTTTTTTCTTTCTTTGAGAAATTGTTACCAACATCTATACTGTGGTTAAATTTTGGAACAAATGTAGTATATCCTAGCCATTTTATAGTTTCTATATAAGTAAATGAGGTAGATGAGGATTTTTAACATTTTGTATTCGTTCTTTGGGAGTTCTCAATAAATAATAAAGGTCATATTGAGTATATACAGTGTGAATTCCTACTATTAAGCCCTGCTAAACCAGAATCTGCATTTTAACAAAATTCTAAGATGATTCAAATGCACATTAAAGTTTAAGAAGCACTGGTGTGATGATAAAAGAATAAATTTGGTATTCTTTGTAGAAAGATTTTAACTACTGATTTTATCTTGTTAATGATTTACTTTCTATTCTGAATTTGCCTTGGTAATATATAATTATACATTTGTTCATGTTGGTTTTCAAATTTCATAGGTATTAGAGATGTTTATGGTATTCTCATATACATAAAACCATGTAGTCTGCACTTAATAACATAGCGGCTCTTTGCTGGTAATTTTGATCACGTGATTTCCTCTTATGCCCTAGGTATAGGCTTTAAGTCGCCACAGAAGACTGTATAAATTCTGTAAAACATCAGTTCCATTTAAAAGAAAATTCATATAGGGCCTCATTGATAATTTAAATTACTATGATAGCACTTAAACATGTATAAACATGAAATGAGGCGTGAACTCCTTAAGCCTAGAGCTCTTTTACAGCTACAAACTTAATATAAAGTTACACATTAAATACAGACAAAACAAATACAGTTTCAAATTTGCAACATTAAAGACACCTATGATACCATTTAGATGAAGCTAAACCAGTGGTTTGGGATTTAATTAAGGAAAGATAGAATCTGAGGTTCAAATTTTATTATTTTGCATTTTGCTTTTTATTTTGACTTATATACTTCATATATTTTTTATATCCTCATATAAAGAATGTGTGCATTAAGTAGATATCTAATCCAACTATTGTAGAATCATGAACAGAGAAATAATATCTGAAATGAGCTTTGAAAAATCAGAAAAGTGTGGTATGGTTGAAATATATGTTTTATTAATACTGATAATATGTTTATTTTATTATGCAATTCCTAACCAATTTAAGTTCCTTTTTAAAGTGCAGCCAAACACATTAGAAGTTTTATGTTATATCACTTTGGCAATCAGAGGTGTAAATACAAACTTAGGAACTTCAATCTCATGGTAAAAATGACCCAGAATATACTTATAATGATCTTTTAAAAATTATCATCAAAATGAAAATGAAATTAAGAAACCATGGTAAAAATGTCCCAGATGCCCTAAGCATGCATTTGCCAGCCTTGAGTGATCCACTTGGAGGAACAGTGACCCAAAGTGGGGTTTCTCGGTCTTGGCACTATTGACCTTTTGACTGGTAATTCCTGGTTGGGCAGGGCTGGGGGTTGCTGTGCACTGGAGGATGTTTAGAAAGCATCCTTGGCCTCTACCCATTAGATGCCAGTAGTACTTTCAGTTGTGACAATAAAAATGCCTCCAGTCATTGCCAGATGTCCCCCCAAGGGACAGATATCACCAACCTCCCCGCCTTGGTTGAGAACCACTGATCTAGAGCAACTACAGCTGTTATCTATTAATGTTTTTGTTCTGTTTTGTTTTGTTTTTGAAAATCTGAAGTACAGATCTATAAATACGTATTCACAATCTGAAATCCAGAAAGTGCTTAAATTCAAAACATTTTTCATAATTTTGTAGCAAGTTCACTGGGTAAAACTTTGCCTAAGCTAACAAAAGATATTTAAACTCTGATTTAATTTTTCCTGATTTTGACCTTTGGCTATTTTTATCCTTCTCATATTCCTCTCATATATTTTTCACAATAAAATAGGAGACATGCTATTTGCCCAAAACAGAATAATACACTTAATCCCAGTACCTGGTAGTTTTTATTATGTGGTTGATGGCCAGTGTTTTCCATTGCTGTAAACATTTGGCATCAGTTGTAATTTTTTTCTCATTGACATTGCTTTTTAACTTTAATCACTGAAGACAGTCCTCTTAACAGCTTAAAGTACATGGACTAGTTTAATTTGTGACTCTGTTTTGATTAAACCTAAATCATTTTCTTTGTATTAGGTCGGCATCACTCTCTTCACTGTGTCTCATAGGAAATCTCTTTGGAAACATCATGAGGTTTGTATTTCTTTCATTGAATGGTACAGCGAAATTTTATTTTCTTTAAAATAAGAATTCTGGTGAATATGGTTTTAAATTTTATGGTTTGTATTCCCTTAAACATATGTCTTAAGGAGAAAAGGTGGCTTTATTTGTTTTATAAAATAGGATTTTCTTAAATATTGTAGTTGTCGGTTTTGAAAGCAATGGTGTAACATTTTTTCTCCAGTTTTATAAGTGACTCTTACCTGTTAATAGTAACTGACTAAACTTTGCATAGTCTTATCACAAATATGGTGAAGTAAACTTTTCTTATCCAGAAGTGACAGAGGAGAAAAAGTCTTAAGAAGAATTAGATGGCAAAAAATTTAGGGGCATTTTTAATTGAGGTCAGGACTACAAGGGGGAAGATTGAGTAATGTCAGCTATGTTTATCAATGCACTGTAGTAAATAGGATTCATTAGGTAGTGACTATAATTTACAAAGATATTCAAGTGAGGCTTACATTGGTGCACGTGTGTTACTTGTTCTGTTGCTTCAGTAGTGCCATTCTCACTATGGCAGTTCTTTTCAACTTTTAATGTAAAATGCTCAAAACCTGGAGTAAACCCAGTTTAATTCTCTATTTTCTTTCCTCCTCCCTCCCTCCCTTCCTTTCTTCCTTCCTTTCTTTTCTTCTTTCCTTTCTGTCTTTCCCCCTTCCCTCTTTCCTTTCTTCTCTTCTTTCCTTCCTTTTTCCTTTTTTTCTTCCTAAATGATATAGAAATTTTAGGTAAAAGCAAGGGTTTGAGAAAAATTGGAATAATGGTAAGGGTATCTTGCTACACAAAACACATAACCTGATTAAGGACCCTTTTTTTTTTGCCAGATACTGAGCTAAGTGTCATAAGGGATGCAAATTAATTACAGTCTTTACCTTCAAGAGCTTTAGGATGTAGATGATAGTCTACAAGTGATAAAATGAAGAGCATAGGATTTGAAGTTGGAGAGCCTGGGTTCAGGCACCAGTGTTTCTAGCCTCAGTTACTTCCTTTGTATAATGAAGTTATTGATCCTTACCTGCCTATCTCTTAGCTTACCATGAAAATTAGACAGGTAGCCTATATGAAAGTACTTAATAAAATTCAATGAAATTGTATATAACTGTATGACTTTTAAGATAGCTTTTATTATTTTATTGCATATTATAATTTGTCAGTTTTTCATGAGCTGAACAAGAAATTGAATAACTAGAAATGAAAGCCCTTTAAAATATAGCCAAGCCTTTGTGTTTTCTCAGAAGTTCATAAATTTTATAGCCATAGGACATTGAGAGGAATTGAGAGCATCTGGGTTTCACCTTCCTCTTCTTTTGGAGGTATAGACAAGTAGCAAAATAATCATCAGGCCAGTGATCATGTGAAGGAGGGGAACACAACTAGAATGAGAGGGGCCAGGGTAGCTAAGAAATAGTAATACAGAAAATGGAAACTCAGAAAGCTTTCTGAAAATAAGCCACTAAATAAAAACAGAAGGCTTTGTAACTGCTGTTGTGTCTTCAGAGGTTAGGATATATAGGCACTTTTTATAGCTCTTTTTCCCCTCTACTAAATTGAAAACAAATAAAAAGCCTTAAGCTAGAGATTCCGAGCTGGTTAGGAAATCAGGCTACAGGAAGCAATACTGACTGACATATGGAACAGTCCTGCATTTAGCACAGTTTAACCTACTGGTAGCTGAGATTCTTGGTCATGGAGTTAAGGAAGCATTCTAATTTGTGGGATGCTTATAGATTTAGCTCCCTTAAAATAATGAGGAAGTCTGTATTTTACTTTTCATAAAGGACAGTACTGACTTCACTCTTAGTTACTGACTTTTTTCCCCCTTCTTTCCCATAGTACTACCTGCATATGGATGGCAGAGGCAACTATGAATTCAAACAGATAACAGAAGATACAGTTGAGTTTGGCTCTTAGAGAAATCTGGAGAACTATACCTGCTTCAATGAAATAATTACAGAATACACTTAGAAATGCAAAGTACATTGTAAAATAAAGTTGAGCTTGGTTTTTTTTTAAAGAAAAAAAACAAAGCAACAAATTAACTAGATATAGAATAATGGAGAACAGGTTGTTAAAACATTGAATATTATATAGGATATTGCTAATTGTGTATATGTTGGTTTAATTATTAATATGTACTAAGAATGTCCTTATTCTTGTGGTTAAAAACCTGCCTAAATTAAATTGGGCTTCAATCACTGTAACCTGATTCATCCTGGGATGTAAACCATTTGAAGTCAGCTAATTGGACTTTTATGGCTCTATCTTTTCCTTCAATGAAGAACCCTATTTAAAACCAGGTTATCATTTGTCCTGTTCTAGCCAGGTAGTCTTCAGTTTCATTTTCCTGTGCCCCATGGTAGTTGGAAACAAATCATAATGTATTATTTAAATGTATAACATCATTGCATAACAGCATTTATTACACAGTGGCAGATTTCTTTAGCTGCCACAGTAATACTCATTCCTTGTGTGTGTCTTGGAGTACGTTTAACTCCAGGAAAGCCATTTTGATTTTCCTTAACTAAATGATAAATGTACCCCTCTCAGTCTGCAGTATTGAGTTGTTTAAAGTATATGTGCAGTCTTGCTTACAAGGAGGGGTTACCATGTATCACACTAATTTCCCAATGTTTGGGATATTAAAACACAAAGTCCTTAACATGCCAGGCTCAAGGTCTTATGGGAGTTTTAGATTTTTTAAAGAATTAGACAAATTTGTGTGTGTTAGAAGCCCATTTATTAGAAGTGTGGTGGTTATTTGATATTAAACTCCAGATGAGCCATAGGAAGGCACTATATGAAGTAATGCACTGAGTGTGCAATGCTATCACTGTCTTTCACTATGATTTTATGTTTAAAAAGTATGTTCTAAAATTATTATATATACATGGATGAATTATGTTTCCAAGGCACTGTTTTATCTCTGTGAATCTTGAATAACTTTTTAATATTTGGGTTATTATGTTGAACGATCCTAAGAGAAGAAGATTTCAGTTCATCAAACCATCATTAATGACTTTATGTATTATTTACCCAGGGAGAACTGAAACTGAGCATAATCAATAAGCTAGATATGAAATCAGTTTCTCAAACTGAGCTTCTGAAAGGGGCATTTTATACTCTTGTTTCTGCATAACTGGTTTTGTTTTTTTGCAGAATTAACTATAACAATCACTGGCTACCGAAGTAAACTGATGTACTGAATTCCATAATACATAACATTCAGTTTTTACCACTTCTGTTTAGCAAACTTGTATACTTATTTTCTGTACAGATTAAAAAAAAAAAAGAAAACAAAACTCAGATATCCTATACAACCTTTGCTTGTTCTTTTTATTCTGGTATCTAAATACTGAGAAGTTCATTTATAATTCAGCCTTGACTTGAAAACATACATAGTTTAGTCTTGACTTGAAAAACACAAAAATAAATTCAGAAAATGCTTTTAGCACAGTGTCTCTTTTTTAAAGTTTTGTCAAGTGTGGTTTTTAATTGAATGAATTTCTCTGTTAGAAAAGTTCCGTAAAATCTGTGTACCTGACAAATGCTGCCAAACATCCAGGAGACTTTAGAAGATCCTGTTCCTCTTGGAAAATATTTTAAGGCATGGGGAAGTTTCAGATTTTCAGATTTCTGGATTACCTCAAACCTACTTGTAGAAGTATTCTCCTAGCTGCCTTATAATTGCTTTTGTTACGATTCTTGCCATCAAAACAACAATTTGGGCTTTTTTCTTAATTCTTTTCTTTTTTACGTAACAAGTATTATAGTGCCTCAGCATTTGAGGCATAAAGGAAGATCCTTCTGGAGAATCACATTACGTAATGGTGGTTCTTAGAAGACCCACAATAAAGAAATCCATTGGTTCCAAAATGTGATTGACCACGGAACATCTTTTTCTACGTAATTCCTATGAACACCTTCCAGAAACCACACTGGGAAATGGTAGTTTAATCCGAAGAATAAAGCAAAGAATAAGAACTTTCATCCATGAGCACCACGCTGCATACCAAGACATATCACTGTGTTCTCATAACAAGTTTTTATGTAATGAGAAAGTGTGAAACAGCGATGGTAGTTTGTTTTGCATTAATAGAATAAAATGTATCTAGCATTTGTCTCTTTCCCCCCTTTCTGAATGATTAACATTTGGCTTAAAACCGGTGATACGATAGCATCTGTCATTACCTTATGTAAAGTTTTAACTTTTAAACTTGGTGTTTAAAATCGTAATTTGTGCTGAGAAGCAGAATGAATTTTCTTCTAACAGATGGACTTTGACATTGTTAGCTGCAGGAAGCTGTCTCTTTTTTTTAAACCTACGTTAGTGATTTTTCCTTTGTGAAGAATTGGAATGTTCCGACCATTTCCATATACATAGCATATGCATGTCACTTTAAGAAAGTGCCAAAACAACTGAAAAGCAATCCCCTTCAAACCTTAGGAACAATGATTTTAAACTCTTCTAGTTGGTGTAATTGCATCTCATTTTTTAAAACAATATGCCTTCATAGCTATTTCTTGGTTTACCAATTTTAGACATTTCCTACCACCTTTTTTCCTGCCACATCCCCTCATATAGTTAAATCATTTTTAAATGTAGTATATGTACAAAAACGATAAATTTAGGCTCTGAATTTTTAAGAAAGTGTACACACTCGTAACCACACCCAAACACCAAATGAAATAGAACATTGTTACAGCACTAAAGGCTCCTTCTTGTTCTCTTCCAATGATTAGCTCCTGACTTCTATCACATAAATTGGTTTTGCCTGTTTTTGGACTTTATATATATTAGATACCCTTTTGTGTATGACTTCTTTCCCTCAGTATTGTGAGGCTGATTGATCCATGGTAAGTGTCACAATAGTTCCTTCACTTTTATTGCTGTGTAATGGTTAATTGCAGACCATCCCTGACTTAACAGAGGGTTCAGCTTAGAAGTTTTCAGCTTTATGATGGGTTTACCTGGATGTCAAGTGCATTTTTTGACTTAACGTATTTTTGACTTACTGTGAGTTTATTGGGATGCAGCTCCATTGTAAGACCGGCAGCATCTGTATGTGAATAGGCTATTTATTCCTCTTCCCATTGATGGGCATTGTGTTGTTTTCTGTTTGGACCTGTTAGGAACACTTCCTAGAAATATTCTTATGCATGTCTTTGGGTGCACATGTGTGTGCATTTCTGGAATGGAATGTGTTCAGCTTTGGCACTGCCAAAGTTGTTCAGTTTTTACACTGCCACCATAAGTGTGGAAGAATTCTGGTCTTCCTAGTCCTTGCAAAGACTTGATATTCCCAAGTCTTTTTTTAAAATTTTTGTTTTTACTTAATGTATGTTCAGCCATCATTGTGGTTTCATTTTGCATTTCCCTGATAACTAATGAGGTTGAACTCGTTTAATGTTTATTGGCTATCTAGATGTCCTCTTTTTTTTAAGGTGCCTATTTAGTCTCTGGGCCCTCTTTCAAATAATGTTCTGTTATTGCAGATATTCTGTATTCTGGATATGAATCTTTTATTAGATAAATATTCTAATATCAGACAAATTAGACTTTAAGACAGTGAGTATTTCTGAAATGAAGAGGGACACTTCACAATGATAAAGGTCAGTCAAACAGTATAACATTTCTTAATTTGTATATACCTGATAGCATAGGCTCAATCATAGAAACTGACATAATAAGGGAAAATAGACAACCCCAATTTTTAGAGTGTTACTTACAGACCATTCCTGACTTAACAGAGGGTTCAGCTTCCAAGTTTAATTCCATGATGTTTAATTTCTTTGAAATTTCTGTTAACTCAGGTAAAGCTCTTTTTGCTAGTTCTTAGAGTGGAATAGCAAGCTCTGGGGTCTGGGTTTGAAAATGCTTTTCAAAAGTAGCAGTTATTCTAAACAAAAATAGTTATAGGCAATACTTTGAAAGCTATCTCTCTCTCTCAAAAAGATAACTGGTGCAACTCTAATTAGCCAGTCAGTTTGCCAAGTGACTGACTGGAATGCTTGAGGCAATACAAAACTCCAAATTTTGTCAAACACATTTATTTTTGGCATTATCTATGACCAAGATTATGTTTTAATGATGCTGGCATGCCCTCTTCCTGGAACACTTTGTACTTCTGCCCACCTTGCCTGGTTAACCCTGTGTCCTGCAGCTGAGATTGTAGGTAACCCTTCCAGGCCCAAGTTAGGTGGCTCCAGGTAAGTTCCCCAAAACACCCTACTTTACCTAACATAATATTTATGTTCTATTGTAATTGACTTTTGACTCTACAAATACATAGCTCCACAAAAGTTGGGATTATATGTTTCATATTTTAATCAAATCTATAGTGTCAGGCATGTAGTAGGTGCTTAGTACTAGAATAAATTACTGGACAAACGAGTGAATTCAAATGCATAAGTATGGTTCTTGCCAAGGAAATGACAATCCAGAAAAGGGGCTACAATGGGTGGACAACCGTTTTGTACAATAGTAAGAGTTAGAAGAGTGTAATAAGGAAGTGGGGAGAATGCAGTGGGAATCCAGGAAGAGGAAAGCTCCTTGGTGAGATCTAGAAAAAATTACAGTCTTGCTGAGTTGGTAGAAGCAAGGAGCATGATCAGTGGAATCAAGGCAAGAAAGCTTTTGGTCTTTAGTAAGCTGTGGATTAAGACAGAGGTCCTCAAAGTATTGTCTTTGAAGTGTAGTATTTTTAATATGATCACGACTCTGCCTTTTCTTATGGCTTGGATTCATAACTTGCTGATATTTAATACATCTTCTCAGGACTGTGCAGTCCTATCCATTGGTGGGGTGTCTGTCTCCCTTTTCCATCCCACCTCCCCTACCCTCTTTGTGAAGGAAGGTATAGAGAGCAGTTTCTTAGACTTCAGTGTGCATAAAAACTACCTGGAAAATGCAGATCATCATTCATTAGCTCTGGGATTGGACCCAAGAATCTCGATTTTTAACTAGTTTTCAAGTGATGCTAAAGCTGTTGTCCCAGACCACAGTTGAAGTAGCAGGATCTGGGGTGGGAGTTATGGCTATGGACTAGAGAGGCCATCACAGATGGAGTTGCAGAAATCTGCAGAGTATTCTTTGGGTTCATTTATTCAGGCTTCCGTTTCATGTTCCTTCATTCTTAATCATTTACGGGTCTTTTGGATTTTATTTACAATTCCTTCAGTTCTTTTATAATCCAGTCTGTGAGCATTTCAGTCGTCTATCCTTCTCAGGAACTCAAGATGGCGCCACAATCGTAGTTGTAAAGGACGCTTCCCGTCCCAAATGACGTTAATATATGCAAGGGAAAAAGCATTTCCTGCCCCTCTGAGTGTCTGTTACATCTCTTATTCTCCAGCCTGAAATATGCTTGGAGAAGACAAATTGCTTTGCAAATGGAGCGTAGTTTTTTGGTTGGTTTTTGAAAATCAGGCTGGATAAAGATTGTCATGTCAAAAAATGTTTTCTTAAAACTCCTTTAGATCCCTATTTTTAAGATTTGTTAAATTGTATATATTCAAGATGAATTTCAGCTTCTCGGTTTCAAAATTGCTGGATTATTAATTTTCATTTCACCCAGAAATACAGTGATTTTAAAGTATTAATTATTGATACTTTAATAATGTGTAATCATAGGATTTAAGTGAAAAGGGGCTAAAGATCTTAGACCAATGAGCTCACCTAAAAAAAATAGGTCTCCCATTTTTGCTTAAATTGTCTTGAGTTTCTGTTCCTTGCAACTGGAAAAATCCTAACAGGCTCATATATAACCAACTTTATAGGGAGTGTACAGTCTACAGATGGAGAATCTTGTCTATGCTCTATGTATTCTTAATTCATTTTGGCTTCAGAGCAGGTTGCATTCTGATTTCTCCAAGGCCTGAGAAGCACCATTTGGGTCTGTGGCTATTTCCAGCCTCTCTGCAGTAAATAGTAAACACATATTGCTGATTGCAGTCATTAATAGATCAAGCCAGTGGTTCTCAAACTTCAGTGGGCATTAGAATCACTTGAAGGGCTTCTTGTTAAAACATTGATTGCTAATTCGGTAAGTCTCCAGTCAAGGTCAAGAATTTACATGGCTACCAAGTTCTCAGGTGACACAAATGCTGCTTTGAGAACCATCGGATTAAACTAAATGGAATAAAGCAATGGTTTGGATGCATTCAAGAAAATGAACAAAATTTCTTCAGAGAATCAGATATGCACACAAGATTTAATCTTTGCCACCATGCAGATAGCTTTTCTTTAAAAGGAAATAGTCTGGCTTAAAAAAAGAATATTAAAAATAAATATGGACAATTGGGCCCCCAGGCATGGAGTAAAGTGTAGCAGGATGAGGGGGATGTCAGAAAGGCACAGGGGTCTGCTACAGAATGGCAAACCAGCATGTGTCTGGATTTAGGAGAAAAAAGATTCCTCCACCTTCCCACCAAATCCCCTCACAATAGCTGATGAGTAAAATTCTACCTTTACTCTCTTACTTTTTTTTTTTTTTTTTCATTTTAAGAATGTGACTGTTGATAAAATATTATGAATCATTGACACTTTAATGTGAATGATTTTTAAATCTTTTCATTAGTTGGAATGGTGAAATGGTGTCCTTTGAAATGTCCATCTATGGCCATGCTTAGTGGTTCACACCCGTAATCCCAGCACTTTGGGAGGCCGAGGCTGGCGGATCATTTGAGGTCAGAAGTTCAAGACCAGCCTGGCCAACATGGTGAAACCCTTTTTTTTTTTTTTTTTTTTTTTACAAAAAAGTCGAGCACGGTGGCATATGCCTGTAGTCCCAGCTACTCAGGAGGCTGAGGCAGGGAATTGCTTGAACCTGGGAGGCGGAGGTTGCACTGAGCCAAGATCCCTCCACTGCACTCCAGTCTCGGCAACAGAGTGGAACTCTGTCTCAAAAAAAAAAAAGAAAGAAAAAAAGAAAGAAATATCCATCTATGTTTTTTTCCCAGGTCTGTCTTTTGATCCTTGACCCTTTTTCCAATTTAGTTAGCTCAGCAGTTCTGTGATCACTGTCTCTGGAAGGGATGGATATGGCAGCTGAAAGCAGAGAAAAGTGGAGTCTCCTGCGGTTCAGGACAGTGTGAACAGCAGGACTAGTGCATAGA